TCCAAATACCAAGGAGTGAATTCTAAAATTTTTGGATGAGTTAAATGACTTGAAATTTGTTTATGAACCAAGTTTTTAAATGAAAAAAAGTTTTGGCATATCAGCTGAAAATGTGTAAGTTTTGTTGGAATCAGTTTGAACAAAGCTAAGAAAATAATTTCCAAGAATGTGAAAAGCAACTGTAAGGCTAGAGTTGAAGCAGAAAATTGAGTGACCCCGACAATAGAATGAAACACAAGGTTTCAAATTCCGGCAACTATAAAACAGCAATCAATTATCGAAAATAACAAAAGACCACACAAAAGACGCATAAGCAAAATTAGACTTTATTGTGCTGCTTGCATGCAGAGCGTCGCAATAAATATAGAAATGCGGTATTTATGCCCCATTTTTAATGATTATTTGAATCAAGCCCTGAGTAACGTATCATTACGCTATGCGGTTTCAAATAGTGTCTCCGGCTAAGCCAAAAAAACTATCGAATGAATGTTGACCAATTTTTGCCCATGTTTGCAGCACCTCGTAAAACCTCCTAGCCTTATAAACTGTTCACAAGACACAATTACTCCATTATACTAAATATCAATCATATTGGATTCTTTTGCTAAAATTTTAGCTGAATTGATTTTAAATTTATACGATTAGCAGCATGCGAATTATTTATGTTTTTCACCAACCTGTAGAAAGCAGCGCTTCCGAGGGAACCGTGAAAATTCAGTTTATATTGGGAACAGTCAATTAAAATACTGAGAATATATAAACTCAAATCTTTATGTTTTATGCTAACATGTAGAATATTTTTTGAAATAGCCCAGATACAAATTCACCAATTAATTATATTTAGTTTTTTTTCCCCAAGCAAATACTGCTTTTTTCGTTTCCAGTTGTAAAACAACTTAATAGTCTAGTCTATAATATTAAATATACTTATCTTTTGGCCTTCTGTTTGCCTGTCTGAACGGATTTTCCAATATGAAGACTTTGTACGTGCAGTGTTGAACGGGAGCGAATGGAAGTTCGTTGACTGCGCCATCAGTTTTACAGATTTAGTTTCTGTGTGACAAGACAAGATATTATATTAGCGAAGTAATTAATTTCCTTGTTACGTTTAGTCTTCACAGATTTTCCTGGCTGATTCTTATGCATCATTTTATTCCATCAAAGTTGGTGAAAATTAATTCACCGACGCCGACAAAGGAGGACAAATTTTAATTTGTTTAATTCTCGTTGGTTTACGGCAAATGTCTTCCTTTTCATTCGTACTTTTCTTGTAAAATGAAATCATAATCAACACCAGATCGGCGCTCTAGATAAGTATCATTTTGAGACCATCATAATCCATGAAAAAAAAAATCCAAGTAAGAATTGTCCATTTTAGTTAGAAAGAAGAACAAAAGCTGGGTTTGGTTACATTGTACATTCAGATACTTTTTCGCCACAGAAAATGATTTCTCGGAGATTAAGAAACAGATTCTAACTAGAAAGACTTAGGAAAAACGGTGAGGTTTATACTTTTAATTGATTACCTGACATAAACAGAGACTGGACAAAGTCAAATGAAAGAATCGGAGCAGCAACTCAACTAATTCTACGACTATCGTGGGATGTAAGAGTTTGGTCGCGTACTTCAGTCAACACGTGCTCAGCTTTACTTTATAACAAATTGCAGTTACAGAGACAGGCTCTGATGTATAAACCTCTGAGAGAAATGACTTATTAAGAGAACAAACCTGTTATCGTAGCTTATCTTCTTGACTGATGTAGCACAAATCAATCCACAAGAGGTACAATCACAGCATTTAGGTCGCCTTTCCAGTCGCTACTTTCAATTCTAATACTGGGTGTGTTTCTGGGTTTTATACCTTCTCGTATAAACGCTAATTTATTCAGCTCAGTCGAGAAACAATTTTCACTGGGCTGGGAAAAAAACAAAAGGGAGTCTTACTTCATGATTGTTCCAAGAAATATGTTAAACCCCACCTTGCAACCTGTTGTTTTTGGCCTCTTGCCGGAATTTGCTACTATACACCGTTTTGTACAATCCTCTACCATTGGGATTTGTTAGGTCATTGCATGATGTGCACCTAGAATTTTAATTTGCAAGCGCATTGCTATCCTTATTTTTCATGGTATCAAGGAGAGAACAGTGTTTTCTCTGTCTAGATTGCCGTGGCTTTTTCCTGTATGACATAGCGAGGCCAAACCAAGACGCATTTTAGTGGGCTTTTGAATAAAAACGCCTTTACCCGTTGATGAATCGTATAATTTTCACCCTTGGGGAAAATGCCAATATGAGGTGAGAAAGATTATATCATCGTTTGTTTCCTCTTTAGCTTGTCAGTGGTGTAACACGAACGCTGATTTTTAATAGGCCTGGACAAAGAAAGTCTCAAAATCCTGACATGCTTTTTCTTAATGATACTCTATCGGCAGGGAAGCTTTTAACCCTAACTACAGACCAAAAAAGAATCCTAAAAAACAATCCTTTCAAACCCTGCAACAAACGCAGAATGTGCTTTTGTCGGCCAGCCAAAGATAGTTATAAAAGCATCGAAGAAAGCCAAATTGACAACATGCATGTCTGACCCAAACTGGAGAGGACCTAGCCATTTGACTTAAACCGAGCTTAACAAGCTCAAAACATTTAACGGGGATCAGATTCCGCAATATAATGAACAGAATTGTTTACCCCTATTAAGACGTAGCCAGCTACACTGAAATGTTAAGTGAAAATGTTGCAATATTCTGCAGTAGGCAATGTAACCATGATATGCGTCAAACGTTTCTCTGCTCTTTTAGGTTTTTTTCCCATACAAATCCTTATATTTCGAATGTCACGCAACAGTGCCGATGTTCGCCGATGCTCATATTTCGAGCTTGGGCTACCTGTGCACAGACCAGAAACAATCACCCTGAGATAGGCGCAAGGCACGCTGGGAAGATGGTAATATCCTCCATTCGGCTTTTAAACCCAAAAGCTTTGTATGGGGAGACCCCTCCCCAAGGTGAAACCCTTAGCTTACCTCAATTTTTCACAGAAAAGGTACCCTTGCAATTGATCTTTGTAAACTATAAAACCAGACATTTTTTTCCAGGGAGGGGGGGGGCGTACTTGGGTAAATTTTTGCTTTGTATGTGCCACTGGCCTCTCAGAGCCCCCACCCAAGTATAGTCTATTCTGTGACCAATTATAGCCCCCATCTTAGTCACCTTTGGGCAAATGTGTAATTTTCGTGATCCCAACTTAGTCACTTTCTATATTTATAAATTGACCCATTTTTTTAAACTGAATGAAGAACACTTTACTTTACACCTACAGTACAAGCATTCTAGTACACTTGCTAACCATAAATAAGAAGCACTGTCTTATCCCAAAAAATCCGAAAATGCGCGACCCCATTATAGTCAATCCAATCCAAATGCAACCCCATCTAGTGAAAGGAAACACTTCAAATCCCTACCCTTTCATATTGATACCTGAAGCTTAAAAAACCTTCATATACTTTGATTTGTTGTGTGGATTTTGAAATGGCCTTCTTCCATACTTTCCTTTGGGAAACTCCCATAGGAACATGCATACTTCTAACCCTCCCCTCTAGATATACTGCCTGCAGTAGAAAACCTTTGGGTTTTTTTAGTTATAAAAAGATGTAAGGGGCTCCTGCTAAGCTAGTGGTGCAATGTTGGAAGGAAATATAAGAGAATGCATCAGGGATAATTTGGGCTCTTCCTCACTCTTCCCACTTCCAAGCATTTCAACAGGTTTGTAAGGTGTGCTCCATCTCTTTTGCATTTCTGTCACTTAAATGTTCATTTTTGCTATATTTGATTGTTTTTTTTTTTTTAAAGATTGTTTGAGGAAGCCTACTACCTATATGCCTTGCTGGTTTCCCTCGGGCTTCCTCACCATTTGGGTTTTATTTTTAAATAAATAAACTTAAGTTCTGAAATATGGCAAATATTGCAACCTCCAACTAGTGAACTAGTGGTAGTGGGGTCTGAGAACCGCTAACAATAAGAGAAACAACAAATCATCTTCAAGGGAGATTCAGGGCAGGAATCAGGAGTGGGGTGAATAGGCGAACCGATCGGCTGATTTTGAAAATTTTTTTTGCCCGGATTTCAGATTTAAAGCGAGATTTTAGCAGATTTCCAGATCCCGCAATAAACATTGCAGCAGATAGCGGATTCATCTATTTTTTGGGGCAAAAATGGAAGGGCAGATTTGGTTAATAAATCATAATGGATCGGAAGATTTGCTTACCCCTATTCACCCACCTCAATCAGCCTTAAACCCCCTGTAAGGGTGGCTCATAGAAAGTAAAATATTTAATGAGGTGCAGTGAGCTAGGGGTAAGGAAAATGCTAAAATACTGTGGCCACTTTTCATGGCCCCACAACTATCATCGAGTAAGCTTTACAGTCCACTACCACTAGCTCTGTGAGCAATGATTTTGTCACAAATAGTTATGGTGAGTCATGAGTCATGAGTCCCTGTCCAGAACCAATGAGTCCCAGTTAAAAAAAAAATGAGTCTGAAATTGAAAATGCTTGAGCTTTTATGCAACCAGACAGTTAATCTGAAGACAGACTGCAAACCTCTGTATTACAGTATACTGAATTTAATTTATAGTCCTTCCATTTTGAAGCAAAAACAAGACTAAAATAAATATGCATCTTTAAACAACAGCCCAAGAAATCGCAGAAACAGGATATTTTACCAAAAAATCTTCAAATTGAGCGAACATATTTTGTGTCCTGCAATACGCATGTCATGAATAATTCATAGCATTGTGTCTTTGGGGATTTTTATGCATCAGAGATGCGAGATGCAGAGGTAACTAAATCACTGTGTAAGTCCTCATAGTTGCAGGAAAATGGCATCATGCAAGGAGACATCTAAACATCATTAAAAATTATTTAGTATTTGATGTATTTTTTGGCAAAAATGAAATTTGTCACAGAAATATTATTGATAGTCAACTACCAGAACTCTACTGTTAGAACAAATAAATTTGCTCTGAAATGGAAGTTGTGTCTTCTTCTCTTTCAAAGGCACCAGAAAATGATGTCTCAGAGAGTTCTTGATCATTGTCCACATAAACTAATTCAAAAGCTCCTCTCTCTTGTACAGCATCACTTGGATGCAGCTCACTATTGCGAACACTACTCGTCTCATCATTAGCACCACTACTATTGTCAATAAAAATTGCATCGTCGCTACAACCAGCCACAGGATCAGTGTTCTCTAATGTGCTTTGACACTCCAAGCCATTTACTGCAATAGGTACATCTCCTGAAGGTTGTGAAAGTAATAGATTACAAGGAGACATGTCACTTGTTCCTACAACTTCTCCAAGTGGAATGAAGTGCCATTGTGTCAGTGCCTTACTGATTTGCCACTCAACACCAACAGGGGTGTCATCCTCTTGAGGTTCATTAGGATTAAGTGTTGCTGATGTATTTCTTCTGTCTTTTATCCACTGTTCAAGGTCAAAGGACAGAGATTCATCAACTATTGTGTCTGACTGGCTGTATTCCAAATTTGCAAACACTGCAACCAGATGTTTAATTTTCTCTTTCACTCTCGTAGAAACCATAGGCAAGTTTTTCAAAATCAGTGAAATAATTTCAGTAGAGTACACTGTTGGGTTATCTAGTGTGACCTGCAATATGCTGACCCAAGAAAAATCACTTTTTGTTATCAAAGATGGGTTTATGTCTGATTGTTCTTGAAGCAAGTGTTTTACCCATGCAGCTAAAAAATGGCAGAAGCTCACTTGATTTGGATTATTCTGAACATCTGACAGTTCTTCCAGAAAGTGAATTATGAGAAGAAAGATAAATTCTGTAGATGATTTGTCAACAGACTTCAGTAAAGTCTTCCAGATTTTAAGAATCTCCTTTGGGACATCAGATATAAAAAAATCTGCAGAGCTGTCTTCTAAATATGGCCATTTTATTCCCAGTGTGTTCAGTTGTTCAATGGATGGAACCATCATTTCTTTGGAGGACAAAATGCTCAGTAGAAGAGACCTGAGAATGAAAAGACAACCTTAAGCATAACCTAAATAAAACAAAGAGAAAATTAATGTAATTAATGGCATATGTTTTCCCAAAATTTGTGCTAAATAGATGTTTATGAAAGAAGCACTAACGTTTCCTTTGAATCTGCATGACATTATTGTATTTTACCAGTCACGAAGCAACCTGCAGTACTCCCAACATCTCTTGAATAAACATTTTGCCATGTTTAGTAATAAGTACAAAAACTTTTTATCAAAAGCTGCCCACTAAAAACAATTTTATTGTTTTTTTTTTTCAGCCCCGTAAAATTTCAACCAGTAACCATTTCATCTGGCTTATATAGTAGCCTATGTCCAGATAACAGCATTTAATCAGAAGCTCATTGTTATGAGTGTAGAGGTATATAAAGAGGTGCTGACCCAGCTGAAGTTTAAGTATGTGCAAAGCTATTTTTAGCTGTGTACATGCAACTGTAATCTGCTGAACTGCAAATATGGTAATAGGTTAGCAGCTTCAATGTTATCTTTAATAGGCACGCAGCCACATACAAAACTAAGATTTTGGTGTATATATGTGGAATAGCATGTAAAAAGAAGACTTTTGTGAGTAATTGCCATGCTCTTCAGAATTTGTGGTTGGGTGACTGAATCTTATTTTCAAGCCAGCAAAACAGATGCTTACCATAGATTACTCGTTGACACTATACTGGCTATCTCATCTGAGAGTTCCTTCATTTTACTGCTGTTTTTCCCTTTCATTTGCTTCTTAGAAGCACAAATAAGAGCAACATCTCTGTATTCATTCAGAAGCCTGGAGAGTTTTTGTTCATTTTCTTCATGCGTCTTTATCTGTGCCTCCCAGTACTCCTCTTGCAGCCAGCATAAACTCACGTGTAATCCATTTTGCAGTGTTTCCATGGATGGCAAACTCGCGTGAGTTGCCTCGTGTCTTAAATCAACAAGCCAGTCAGGTAAGCCAATTTCACCTGCAATTGATTGCACTGAACGCGCAAACTTTCCTTTTTGAACTTGATCAACCATTCCATTTACGAATCTTACAATAGCCATTGCAAGAGTCAATCTGCCTTGAATTTCGTCTACAACGTTGTTTAAAGCTAGCCGAGATGAAACAAGATTTGCTGTGCATTCGATAGCAAGTGGGAGTTTACCTGCGCTGCGGCTTTTCCATGCAGCTACACGATCTACTCCTTTTCTCTGAATTTCTGGGTCGTCAAAGTTGTACAAGGCTCTGTACACATATAGCCATTCTTCACGGTTTTGCCAGCAAACTACACGTGCCTCAGTAGCCATCTTTAATTTGCCGTTGATAAATAGGGAATTAAGTGATTATAGAGCCTCAAAACATATAGAATCATATTTTAGAAGAAACAAACGTAAAAAATGCGCAATTGAGCGCTGAAAATACTCAAAAAACCATCTTTGAGAAGAGGATACGGCGAGCAAAAGTTTCAACAGCAAGCCAGCAGCGTTCAACACTGCCAGGCATTCAATACGATCGGGAGAGGAGCTAGGGCGAGTAAACTCGTGAAGGATTCTGGGCAGTAAGCTTGGTGCACATGTTCGGCCATCTTTGTTCTTGTTCTCTTTGCAGATTCGCGGTATATTTCGTCAAATAACGAGCAGTTATGGGAGACAGCGACGATGAGTATGACAGAAGACGAGCACGAGATAAATTCCGACGCGAAAGAAGTGATTATACTGATCGCAGACGCGATCGAGACGACAGGAGTTCTCGTCGAGATGATTGGTCTGACAGAAGACGGGAGCCATCTTGGGAAAATAGACGTCGCGGAGATTATCGAGAATTTGATCGAGGAAGAAGAGATAGTGCTGGTGGGAGACATCATGAAATGAGCCCACCCATGAAAAGAGTTCGAAGAGATTGGTAATTAAAGGATTATCGTCCACTCCTTAAATAAAAACTCTTCACCGTCTGGTCTTGATCAGAACGTCGAAAACCAAATAAGCAGTGAAATAATAAGTATTAGAATTGATTGTATATTGTGATGCGTAACTTGCCTAAATTTTGCAGCAATCTGGACAGAGAGACTCGAGAAAGCAAAAATTCTAAAAGAAAATTCTAGCAAAACCCAATTGTCTAAGTTAATGAGGCCTTGTGTCTGGTTTCTGGTGGGCTAGAGATCATACAAAACTTCTCTTCTCAGGCCGTTTTTCAGTTAAAGCATCATTGTTGATGCGGCAAGGCACTAAATTACAAAATGTTGGGGGTAGTATTCCATCCAGGTGTTGACACAATCCAAGTTTTGTTGTGGATAGCACGATTCCATTCCATAAATTCCTGAAATTATCTCATCAAGAAGGTTTCATCTTTGGCCTCGGGTAATGAGGAACATAATACTTTGTACAATGTGGCCATTTTTAACTGTAAAAGAAGCAAAATAGTAATATGGTGCAGTGTACTGTTCATATGACAGTCCAATGACCAGATTCTACAGGAAACAAAAAAGCAACAACAAGAACTGAAAACTGAGAAATTGTGAGATCATTAACCCCTAAAAAATGTTTTTCATCAAACTTCGGCCAAATCACATAAATTTTTTAATATTTTTGTCGAAAGAACCCTACAGTATTGATGTCTGCGTGAAGTTTCATTTGCTAGTGTGAGAGCTAATTTTAAACTTTTAATGTTTGACAGATCTGTTTTGGAGAACTTGTCAACTTAAGCATTTTTCCACATAAAGTTTCACTCGTTAAAAAAAGACAGCCAATTTTCAACTTTCAGCCAAAATGTTGTCATCCAAAATTAGCAGACGTAGTCTTTGTCTGAATAGTTCAGCCAAGCTTGCTCTTTTTAAAGTGCAAATGATTGAGTGATCTATAATTTTGGAGAAAGGAAATTGTTTTTATTAGAACTAGTTTTATTTATTTTTTTCTCTCACTCAAAACAACAAAACAAAACAGTCAGTATGCAGCAAAGGTCCTATTTTTAAAAAGGTAAAAATTGTAAATCTGTATAGCTTGATTTTTTATCAACTAAACCTTAGTCTGCAAAGGTTTAGTGGGGAATTGTGGGCATAGTTCCTCTACTTATTCTTAGCAGCACGTATCTCCAGTGTTGAATTGTCTTAAAGAAAAAACTGATGCCAAAATGAACCGTCACTTGTCCAAATTTTGAGAAAACCAAGTCATATTTTTTTGATAATTATTCTGCAACAATCCTTTCAAATTCAGAGTGATGGTAGAGTCTTGTAATGTGATTTCTTTTTAATGAAATGCTGTAGAGTGACCTTTCGAAATGAATCCTCTGTGGCAGTACTGTTACGTAGTGTTATTACTTTTACTGTATTTTACAAGATGAAATTTGGAATTTTGCTGTATTTTGAGTTTTATCTGTTCTGGAAGAAATGAAAACGTTTTTGTTTAATATCTACAGGGATGAGCCAAGTTATCATAATGCTGGTGACTACAGTGTGCCCTATGGTGGAGTACCTGCGCATCACAATACATGGCAACACCCTGATGTCCAGCAAATGCAAAATGCACAACAGGATGCTAGACAACAACAGAGGTACGACATGGACAGCTTGTTTAGATTCCAAGATTGTTTTTAAAAAAGATAAAAGTAAAAAAAAGGCTAATGTAAATGTTGTAGTTAATTAATTATTTTTCCTTTGTTTTAATTTCTTTAACAGACATTACCATACCCAACAACAAAAGAAAAACTAAAATTATCTGAGATGAAAAATTAACTGCAACATATATTTGCACCATGCCTAAAATCTGAGCGGCTGACTGAGGAATCAAATCATGTAGTCAGTATCTACCAAACAGAGATATCCTGCTGTGAAAAAAATTAAACTCAAGTTTGTGGCCTAGATGCAGTATTTCATGATTGCTATTTCCCTGATTCCTGAGCTCTAAGCTGTGATAGTCTATCAGTTAAATTTTCTGCAGAATTTATGGTTATTTTCTGGACAGGGATATCCTCTTTCCAGATGGAATTTTTGACCGCTAACATAGCTGCAACAAAAACTGGTTCAAGTTTGTTTTGTTGCAGCTTGTATCGGCATTCCTTTGAAAAGTTACAGTCTTAGGACTTTTTTATAATACCAGGAAATGGTGGCTAGCCTTCCCCGGCCTAAAGGAAGGCAGTAGCCGCAAAAAAGTTTTTATTATGCATGGCAGTACCTTTTAGTTTCATCTTATTTTTTTAGACCTGATGTGGATCAGCAATCACAGGCATCCCAGGGTAATCATGCCCCAGCCATGATGACATTTAAACAGTTCTTAAATGCTCAAGATGACAACATTGGTGACGAGGAAGCATTCAACAAATATCAAGAATACAAACTGGAGTTTAGAAAAACTCAAATGAGTGATTTTTTCCAGCAACACAAGGAAGAAGAGTGGTATGTAGTTCATGTAAATCACACTATGCACGTGTCAATGCAATTTGCTATAATATAAAAGGTAAATAAAGGGGTTTATTGTGGGCGACAAGAGGAGCCCGTTCGCCCGCAGTCCTAATCTCCAGGTTGTTATCAAGCATGCCTTGCAAGTATGTAGCCAGTATTCGTTTGGACTTCAACTAAGAATGAATAGAATGCACAGAATGCAATTTGATCACTTGCGTTTGGACCTTCTGTCACTCATAATCTTGACCGTCTATCACGTGAAACTTGCTTGAAGCACAGCGTTGAAGCAAAAGCATTTGAACTTGGATCATTGTCGCCCGCACTCCATAACGTTTGGTTAATACTTGTAAAATAAGAAGGGACATACAGTTAATGTTTTGTATCTTCTTCAATTGCTGTTTATGATGTAGAATGTCTTTCGGTCCAATTAGTTCTTGCAGACTGCAATCACTCAAAAAGTCAAAGAACTTTTGCAGCATTTTGTGTATGTAGCTATTACCGGTACATATACTCAGATGTGCTTCTATCTGAATGGGACAAGGGCCTAATGACTAAGGGCACTGTATCCATCAGTATTTTGTTTCTTTGCTTGTTTGTTTAAGGTTCTGGCATTGATTCCAATCTGGAAATCAGTTTATTTTGACCCTTGCCTACGGCATTTTGTCATCTACATAATTGGAGCTAGTATCTTTTCCACTGGGGCCATGTCTAAGATAAAAAAATCGCTCTATTTTTTTGCAAACTTTATTAGCTTTGTTTTCACATTTAGATAAAAAGAACGGGCCTTCTTGTTTTTTTTTTACTCTTCACACATTCAGAGCATCACCAATCTTTTTCTGATGTAGTAGTGTTAAATAAGAATTAAAGTAATGCTCATTTTTATGTTTATTTTGCTAACTAGTTAATGGCCCTTTCCTTTCGCAGCAAGCTGTGTTGTTGTTCTGTCAGGCACATGCATGAGATAGCCAAAGCCATATCGATCGGGACCTTTATGCATCGCACTTTAACAAAACCTCGATTTCTTTTGCATGAGGCATAATGCCTAGAACTCTTTATACTGCACAAAGCAGTTCATTAGGCAGATTGGTAGCAGGGAACAGGAGCCACGTTTAAACCCCACGGTATAGAGTGAGGTTCATATTTTGTATAATTTGACCTCAGTCAGTCTTTCTACATGAATGCTATAAAAATAGCAAATGTTTTAATAATGAGAGAGTGAAAAGGCAGTAGTACAAATGTATCACAGTGGAGGCCAGGCAAGACAGCGAAGATGGATGAGTAAGTCCATGCGGGTACTCGCACTATTTGTATTTTTTTAACCATCTTTGTCATCACTTTCCAAAATGACATGTTTGATTTTGTCTTATTTTTAAAGGTTTAGAACTAAATACCACCCTAAGGAATCAGCAGCTCGACAGAAGGAGTTAAAGAAGGCAATGAAAAGGCGGCTTTCAGTCTTTCTAAACCTGTTGAAGTCAGGGAGAGCTGATGCTATATCACTGGATATTGATAACTCTGATGCTATTGTGAAACTTCTGGATGCAGGTATTGTTTTTCCTTTCAAGTGATAACAAATTTAGGTCTCTATACACCGTGTACAATGACCTCTCTGAACTCCAAGGTTTGAAGTTAATTCATAGTCTACAAGCAAGGGTTGCTAGTAAAATTTTTTTGTTACTAGCAAAAGTCAAGAGCCTTGTGAAGAGTGTTAAGTTATTCCCTGTGTTTATACACGCAGTCGAGTGCAAGCATGCAGCTAGAAAACGCACTCTTTCTTTTTCTGGTACTGCTCAATATATACATAGTTTTTATGGCTCAAATTTATACTGGAGAAATGCGTAATGGCTTTGTTAAAATGATATTACTTTTACTGGCAACCTTCCCCAAACCACTCACATTTTGCAAGTGTAAATTTGAGCCCTGAATTTGCCCTTAAAAGAGATCGATGCTCTTGAGTAAGGTGTTACCAGTGAAACTTTCTCAGTACTCTGATCCACTTTCCCGTTAGTCATTTTTCAAAGTAATTTCGACATTTTCTTTGTAGTTGTTATAAAGTTAGAAGGAGGCAGTGACAGTGATCTGGCTGTACTGGAGTGTCCGCCCACTCCACCACCTGAACGAAGACGGTCATCATCTAATCCTTTGATGTCCCCAAATGGTAATGACCCTGCAGAACCTTTTGAGGAAAAGAAAGATGGAACTGTTGATGAAACAGCGCAAACCTCTCAGAATGACAAGGATGCGAAGAAAGGTAAAAATAATGTCCTGCAGATGGCTTTTTGTCTCTCTTTTGACTTGGGTCTTGAAATTTGGCCAGAAACACCATGAAAGTACATGTATGAGCGTGGTCACATCAGCCCCGTCTTTAAATAATTTATATGACAGTGTGAAAAGCAATGCTTGAGAACCAGACGTTTGATTGTTCTTTGTGGTGTCTTTTTTTGTAAATATTAGTGGCTTGAACTTTCGCAACTTTTTACCAAGCCTTTTATTCATAATGTTTTCTTTTTCAGATTCAATACTAGAAACTGGTCCTGTGTCCCCATCATCTGTACCTCTACCCTCAGCCCCTCCACCAGCATCAGCAAAAGCCACTGCAAAAAAGGAAGAGAATGGAGATGTGAAAATGATGTCAGTAGCCAATCCAACACCTGAACAACAACAACTGCAGCAGCAGGCCCAGCAGTACTATCACCAACAACAGCTGTATTATCAACAGCAGGTAAATTAGGGCATGGCTTCTTTGACTCCTTACCCTCGATCCCATTCGAAAGCCCGATTTTCCCATGCTTATTTTGGGGAGTGGATAGTCAAATACAAGGCATTTACAAACAATTACTTTACTTCAATGGGGTAATTCAACTGAATATTAACTTTTACTGACGACATCTTGTGAGAGAATTATTTTTTGAAAGAATCTGTGTGTTGTCTTCCCCACCTCTAGGTTAGAATACTATACATTGTTGTTACATATGATTTATGGCAAATGCTTCCTGGTCAATGATTCTACAGTTTGTATGGCCATTCATTCTTTTAGTGTACAACAAAATTCTTATAGTGGGCTGTGTGAGGTAGTTTCTGCAGAATGTGATGAACAACAACCCCAGATTTGGCCAAAAATAAGGCCTCAGGCTCAGAGGTTTTTTGTACTTGCTCATTTGTATTACCCTGTGGAGTCAGTACATGTGAAATTCAATGTTTGAACCAGGCCTAATGATACATGTAAAGTTTTAAATAGAGGAGATTAACATGAATTAAAAAAAATAGCAAATTGTTATGATGCTGAAATCGTGATGTACAATTGTAACTGCTTTATAATATCAAGGACGTACCATCCACCCTTTGTTTGTGTTCTGTTTTATTTTGCAGTATGGCTATGGAAACTATGATCCACAACAATACCCCAAACAGGTGACTGAGGAACAGCAACAGGAACCACAGACATCCCAGTCACAGAAGGATCAGGGTGCTCAAAAAGCTACCAAAAAGGTAGGTTATAAATTTCACTGAATAAAACCTGTACAGAATTCAGTTTGTTACAATACTAGCATCTATAGCAGCATTGATATTATGCCGTTAAGGTGCAAGTAAGCAACTTATAAAGTCAGTCAGTAAGTCAGTCAGCTTATATATATATATATATCAAAGTAAGAATGAAATGCAGGGGTTTCAATAAGCACGGACGGCCGATGAAACATGTCGGCTACTTTGCTCATAGAGGTCGGCTGCTTTTTCGAGAAAGAAAAAACAACTAGTTTGAATAACACTGGAAACAAAAAATATATCATAAAAACTGAATGAAAACATAATTGTGATGTGTTTTCATAAAGGCCCACTGGTTTTATGTTATGCTTTAGTCATGTGAATGCTATATTTCAGTCATTCTTTTTCTTAAGTTTCTTTATAGGTCTACGCAGAATTTGTTTACATGCATAAGTACTTAATTTAGTTTTCATCATTTGTTCATTGCTTGTAGGAATTGATTGTGTGTCTGATAAATTGAAAGCTACATTTTCTTCTCTCCTTCATCCTCAAATTTAGTCCCCAGAACACTGAAAATCACATTTTAGGCCTTTGAAATGTCAAAATTTTCTCAGGCAGAACGCACGCAGACTCCCTTCCCCCTAAAAAGGAGACTAACGGCCCCTTGTTGGTACAGTCGGTTACTCTTTTCAAACCTGCTGGCTACTTCAATTTTTATTGAAACCCCTGGAAATGGGAAAGGGGGAAAACCATTAGGTCCTCAGCACCTTCAATAATCTAACCCTTGTGTATAGAACCACTAGGCCTGTAACTATCTCTGGCAGCTACCATCCCTAGTGTCTATGTCTCCAAACAGTACTTTAACTGGTTCTTAGCTCTGTTGTACATGTATTGGCCATGTCAATGTTGTTTAATTTTTCTAAGATACTAATATTCAGATTTGCTGAAGTTACGACATGTGTAGAAGTTGGTACTTTCAACACTCACCCGATTATGTTAGTAAAGCCCACACATTCGAACACTTTTTAGTGAAATTACTGCAGCTGCAATCTAATGCACTCTTAAAAATGTCACTTGAAGGTGAGTGAGAGAACTCAGACTGATCTAAATTTGTTTTGAGTATAGGAGGATGAACCCAAGAAGAAACGCAAACGTCGCCACCGTGAACCTTATTATTATGATGCTATGGATGACGAGAGTGAGAGTGAGTCTGAATCCGACTCAGAACCTGAGCCTGCTCCCCCTGGGGAGGAAATGTCCCCAGTGGAAACTGGAAAGGAGAAAGAACTGTTGCCCCCAGGGGTGGAGGCTGAGGCACCAAGCATTGATGAAAGCTTAGCACCACCAGGTGAGTATTGACAGAAATCAGTTTATTGGCATCACTTGACAGTACCTTATATATTAAGCAACTTTTGTTTACAGTAGACATTTGTAAGCTCATTCACACGTTGATTGCCCTTAATTGCCATTGTACAACTTTGTCCCCTGTAATACTGTAGTCTTGTGATTCATCTCCAGACAACCCTGATGCCTAATTTTTGCAGGGATGACATCTTTTAAACCATACTTAAATGGGTGTAAGAAGACTTGAGAAAAGTGAAAAAATCTTATTTAACTTTGACCAGAAAATTCCATTGAACACCTTTTCCACTACCCACCTGTGCTACCATGTATAAGCTATTTCATGATCCTTGAGGTTTAGGCAAATTTCTTTTCCCTGAAGTGAATAGACCCAGTTAAATGTTGTGTAGAAGAAAAAAATTGGTGAGCATAAAACAACCAAATCTGCCCGTAAAATGGCAGTTTGGGTGGAAAAGATAACTAAAGGGTATTTTTTTTGCATTGTATTATAATAAATAATGTTCCCTAGTCTATCTACCTGAGAACCATGGAAGTTTCTGTGAAAGTCTTTGGACAGGCCCTAATGCAGTGTCTTTTTTAAAAATTGTTATTTTGATGTAGGGGTAGATGCACCTAAACCCAGTGAAGTTGAAACAAGTGAGCAACTTCCAACAAGTTCTTCAAATTCTGAAGAGCAGCCAAGTGCCACAACAGATGAAAGTAAGCCAGGTGCAGATACAAAACTTTTCTGTATATACTCCAGAGGACTCCAAATTCAAACATTTATTTTGTAGGCAGGCAACGTAGCCGAGTGGTCAGTGCATTGGACTTGTAATCTGGTGACCGTGGGGTTTCATCTGCAGATGAACAAAATCTCTGCAGAGTGCACGTAAATTTTCTTAACCAACAAAATAACATTGTTCTGAAGATAAGGCGGCCATCGGTATACCTACATGTCCCACACCTAATTGTAATGCATCATTAATTGATAGAGTCCTGCCACATGATTTGTTGTACTAAACTGATGACTCAGTTGGACATGTGCCGGTATACAACAACCTTTATGTCCTTTCAGTGAAAAGTTATTTTCAATTCTGCTCAAGAATAAAACTAGAAATAAGTCTTGTTTCTTGACTTTATTCCCTACAAAAAGTCTGTCACTTGATGCCAAGATTTCATGGCCAAGTCTCTGATATTAATTCATGTATCATACAGATTCTGGTGAGCCTGCTGTAGGATCCAGCCAGCCTGAATCCATCAGTGGCAGTAATGGAGTATCACAAGGAGGAAAAACTACTGAATTGGACACTGCTGTAAATCCACAAACTTCAGGTACTCATACCTTTGAATTAAACTAGTCTTGTTTGTAGTGCAGAAAAGATGTGAAACATAATAGTCTATTAAAACCATTATGTTCAGATAACTGTTATTTTGATGTTTGGGTTACATGTAGGTATTTTGGGTACCCTTTTTACAAAACAATATTGCAAGTCTTAGATTTTCTATTTGGTAACCTCAACAGAAATTTAGGAATTCTGTTTTCTCCTTTTATAATTTACATCACTGTTGGCCAAGTTCCATTCTGGCTTTTCAAGGGCTTACCTTTGAAGTTTCTTTTCCCTGTCCTGTTTGTTATGATGTGTAGCTTATTGTATCATTCATGGATCAGATCTAAACTTGATAATGAAAACATGATTGGATTTTTTTCAACAGATGACACAGCTGCCGACTCCACCCAAGACCCAAACACCAAAGAAACCAAACAAACCTTTCCTGCTGAGACCAGCAGTATTGAACCGGCTGAGTCAAGCAGCTCTTCTGTCGCCCCTCCCGAGAAGGACTCTGATTTGGTTGGTAGTACTGTCAATGGTAACAATACTGTGACCACAAAGCACCAGGAAGCTGAAATGATCCCTGAATCCAGCAGCGAGGCGCAGGAGAAACCAGAGACGCCGGTAGTGTCTTCAATGGAGGCAGAACCGTCCAGTCTGGCATCATCTGCTGTAGAACCCTCTACACAGGCACTGTCTTCTGAAGAGGTATACCTTGAGGATTCTAACTACATGAACAAAGCGCATGTAATATTATTCTATTGTTATGAAATCTGATGTTGTTTCATATACCCAAGGTTATATATTTCATATACACTGTTCACTGGTGGCCATTATGACACCTGAAGGAGGGTCATAAGATCTCTTTCAACAGATAACCCACCCTACCCAGGAAAGGTTGGCCATAGAACTGGGGTCTACATCCCCTACTCTGCTCGAACTGTGGTGTAGGGTCTTTATGTCTCATAAGACAAGTGAAAGTGCTTTGAGACGGGACCTACAGTTTTTCGTCCTTATCTAGAAAGTCTAAACCGTTTGCAAAATTAATGTCACTACAAAGGCAGCACTTTCTTTTCAGCTATTCAAAGACCCTGAGGGTTGGTTATTTAAAGAAAGTCTAACTTAGACGACGGTTTAGGAAATCTTTCAACCTGTAGATCTCTTCCTTAGTGGGTCATTTTAAGAAGACAAATGCTTTTCTAGTCTACACCATGTGCTGTCATGAAACTGTTTACAATGAAATTAAAAATGGTGTTTACATAAAAGCGTTCGACAAACTGAAAATGGCTTACAATGGTGTTTTGTTAAACACTGGTTAAACTCTTTTCCCCAATTTCCATGGGCTTGACCCCGGCTACTTTCATAGGAAACAAATGGAAAATGAAATCAAAAGAACTTCCTTGTTTTTCAATTCCCCACCTGTTAATTGCATATAGGTGGCAACTTGAAATCTCAGTGACAGCCCTGATTCTGTATTTTTTACTGTAAATCTAGAAACCAGAGCAAGTTGATTCAAACAAAGTTGAAGAGGCAAAGGAGGATTCCAACAAGTTATCTGAAAAGAAGGAAGCTGTGGAGGAGACGACTCCTGTTAAAGAAGTAGTAAAAGACAACAAGGAAAACACAACTGAAGAGAAAGAGAAAGACACAGCTGAGGAGGAGCCAATGGAGACTGATGAATCAAAACAGTTGTCAACTGTAGGAGAGCCTCGCGCACTTCACAAAACATTCTCGTTGTTCATGAGGAGTGTACCACCAGGAATATCAAAAGCCGACATTGCCGCAGTAAGGAGATTTATTTTTTACTTACAAAATCACTTATATGAAAGCAGATATGATCCTTGCAGTTGAATAAACAACCTAAGCAGTTGAAAAAGAACCTGTGACATTAATATCTGTTTTGGTTACCGGTTGTTTTGCCTACTAGTCGTTTCGCTCAAGTCCTGTTCATTAATGTCTTATGTCATTCTGCTAAGAAGCTAAACGAGCGATGTGCATGTATATGCTTCGTTCTCTTAGCCATGATACAGAAAAATGCGATATGTATTTACCTCGTTCTTTCAGCCACTGATCAGGCGAATGCAGTTTGGGAACTGACCCAACATGTACGCGAAACGACTTCAGAAGTTAGCGAACAGTACGACCATTCAGACAAAAACTGCCGAGTAGTACTTTCCTGTGGTACTGTTTATCGTGCTGTTCTAGGTAGTTCTAACATCTGTCGATGGGAAAACTGTTGACCTGTATTTTCCTGTAGTACTAGACTGGGACCAGGCTCTGCAGTAGACAAAAAGGGAAAAAAATTGGTGAACGAAGCAAGCCGAACCGGTGCCTCAGAAGGGGAAGGGGCAGCCCTTTTCCCCTCCCCGTTTACAGGATCCACTACAGGGCCTGGTCCTAGGTTACTGTTGTACTGGTTAGTATTCTGTGCAAGTTGGTTGTAACTTTTGAGGCTTTAGATTAAATTCTTAAGTGTGACCATTCAAATGAAAGCTACGGAAAGCTTATCTCTTTTGAAACTGTGTATTTGACTGTCGAAGTTTATCCTTACTCTTCATTCTGGATGGAATTGTATGGTGTGACAAGCAGTACACTTACAGTCTTGAATGTTGCCCTTCTCTGTTTCAGATGTGCAAGAGATTTGCTGGATTTCTTCGTGTTGCACTCTCAGACCCGAGTCCTGATAGAAAGTAGGTGTCTCTCTTTAATCAATAGTGTAGTCTTAATTAGCGTCAAGTTTGTCAAGTTTTGCTTTTAAGTTTTTTGCCAACTCTTTTGAGTCCTCGTATATTAGGGGGGGGGGGGGGGGTCCAGAGTATCAGGAGGGGTAGAGAGGGTTGTAGCCTCCCATTTGAATAGTGCAGAGGTTAAATAAGTACCCCGCCCCCTCCAGTCCCCTTCCCCCCCTTATTATTCTTCACAATGAAATGAATAAATTATAGAGTGTATCGATAATGAGAATGACTGTAACACTTCACGTGGACTGATCCGGTATGTTTCATTTACGTGCTGGAAGTTCAAATTTATTTTTTCATCTTCCTTCGGCTGCATGACCTCCAAGATTTATACCATCGTCTTCGCTTAATTAAATAAGCCCCCCACCCCCCCCCCCTCCCTATTCGTGCGGGGTTGGCTTAATTAGAGCATTAGTTAGGGTATTAAATGTGTGACTCAGCCTTTATTCGTTGGTCACGATTGTGTTGTTATTGCTGGCAATGGAAAATGTAAAAAACATTGCGTAATTGTCTCTGTAGGTTCTTCAGACGGGGGTGGATCACTTTTGACAGAAGCGTTAACATAAAGGAAATCTGTTGGGAGCTAAATAACATAAGAGTGAGTTTTCTTTTTTTTCTTTTTTTAAATATCTGTAAATCTAATGAAATACCACGAAACGAAAAACATTTTATTTCTTCTCCCCATAAAGGTGAAAGATACAGAATTGAGTCCTGTTGTTAACAGAGACCTCTCTCGGAGAGTTCGCGGAGTTTCTGGTGCCGCTACAGCAAAGCAAGTTATCAGAGATGATATTAAACTTGCTGCAAAGCTCATCCGGGAACTGGACAAAAGAGCTGGCATCTACGAGAAAGAGAGTAAAGAGGAGACTGAGGCGAGAGAGAAAGCAGAGAAAGAAGCTGCTGAGGTAGGCTAACTACTCTTACCAATTACAAAACGCTGCACGTTAAACACAGAAACAGGATAATAAATTAAGGTGGCCTTGGACTTGCTCGTTCCTTTCTGCTCTGCAAGATGCGACTGTTGCTTAAGAGTAAGAAGCTACGTTGTTGAATATCTTTCAGAAAACAGAGGAGGGCGAAGAGTGCGAAGCCAAGCCAGCGGACGACTCCGACATACCAGACCTTCCCAACGAAAACCCCATCCTGGCCTCGCTTTCAGAAGACGCGACCGAGGAGGAAGGAGGCGAGGAGATGGAGCTCATGGGAACGGCCTCGCCAACTCAAGGGGAGTCTGGTGACAAGCCTGAGGTGGACCTGTCACGTGACAGTGGATTGCTGAGAGTGTTGGATCGTTTAGTTTTGTACTTGAGAGTAGTGCATTCGCTGGATTACTACAATGGCTTGGATTATCCGTATGAAGATGAAATGCCCAACAGATGTGGGATAATTCACGTGCGTGGTGCCACACCAGAAAAGTGCACGGTGGCTGAAGGTATGACGTCAAACTTTTGCAATCAATTAACTTGTTACCGGGCTGGACCATTCATACTAAATTTTCTAGGACGCGTTTGATGTTGCGTTCTCTTAGCTACACCGGTCTACCATAAGTATACCATGTACACTGTGCGCATTATTAGATTGGATTTTAGAGACCTTTAGTTTCTAAGACGAGGACGACTAGGAGTACGAGATTTTCTTTATACTAAGTAGTGCGCTTGCGTGAACCAGCGTGCGTAAATTTTGGCGGGAAAACCTGGTAGCCGTCGTCATTCTACGACGAGTTTTAGCGAGAATGTCGCAGTAGCGGAAACAAGTTATCAAATGTTATAAGTTTTACTATTTTGCGGTCTGGAGAGGGCTTAATCTCCTTCAATAAAAATAACCGTGTTAACTTTCATGGTGAAAAAAAAATGAGGCTCTCCGGGGTGTCTGCTTTTTCAAAAAGTATGCAAAAAACTTTAGTCAAATCTTGTCCTCATCATCGAATCTAAAGGTCTCTTTTTACGGCGTGTCCGGTGGTGTTAGTTCTGCGCTGATGTTAACTACGTGTGAACACCACTAATTTTTATTTAAAAATCTTGGTCTCATTTCTTATTAGTTCAAGAATGGCAGAAGGGTTTAAACCAGAGGCTTGAACCATTTTGGCAAGAAAAAGAGTCGTTGAAGGACGAAGAAGTTGTTAAGCTCGGGAAAAAAGATCCTGAAGCATATCCTTTGAGTGAAACAGTATAATGTTAATCGGCAGTTGGGCAAACACAGTTTCTTATAACCGTGTCATTCTGACGTGGCATTTAGGATGCTGCTCTATAGGTTAACTTTGCTACTGAATATCTTTAATCTTTCTTGTAAAAGGGAATCGCTGTTCAACTTTTCAGAGTGATTCCTTAAAATTGTCGTCAGTTCCCTTCCAGTATCCTCACTTTAGCAAATCATTACTACGTTGGAGAGTTCGTCAAGGAAAGTAAACACCTGGATTAGTATCTCGTGCTGTTTATATCAGCACCTAAGTAAAGCGTTCCCTGCGTTTTATGGCCTTAACATAGTTTACTGAAACAGAGAGGTTTGTTGAAGCTAACACTCAGGAATTGGCAAAAGATAAGTGGCTCTGTCCTCTCAGCGGAAAGAAATTCCGAGGGCCCGACTTTGTCAGAAAGCATATCTTCAACAAACACATGGACAAAGTGGAAGCTGTTAGAATGGAGGTAAGCTCTGCTGCCCCCTTTGAAAAATCAGCAACGCGCATCATGTTTACCGGTTACTCGAGGGTGTTCTTTCCACAAAATGGCTCAGTTTGCTTGGGGTTTTTACATGTATAGACAGAATCTCGTGAAAACAGGTATACAAAATTTCGTTGTTAAATACACTAGTCTCTGTCAAATGCCTGCATTGCGTTTTAAGCCTGAAAACTTTCTTGTTCTATATCAGATCAGTTTGTTTTAGTTTTCTCGCTAATTTGCAATTAGGTCTCAGGACTTAAAACTTTGCGCTGGCATGTAGTAGAATCGTAGATGTTATCATCATTGATATTTTCTGTGATTTCTTGTGAAATTAAAAGGTTGTTAAAATGATTTTCCAAGAAAAATTACTTCTAAGGCCTCCTAAAGTATGTTTCAGTTTCTTTCTTTTGTTTGTCGCACAGTTGGCACCAAACATGGATATTTTTGTTCCATAGATTTGGTTTAAATTATATCCTGTGCTATATTAAATCTTACTTTGCAACACATGGTCAAAACATCACTTGTAATGCCGACTGTGTTACAGAAGTGTACGGACAATTTACAACCATTAAATGTCCTTGGCCTATCAATACTGTCTGGTAAAGAAAACTTAGACTTGAATGTCAAATGTAAGTTACAGCTATATTTCTGTTAAGTGGCTCTTCTTCTTCTCGGTACATTTTATGAAATGTACCGTTCTCTTAACAATAAGCCCTTGTTTGACTCTTTTGCAGGCGGAATTCTTCAACAGATACTTATCAGATCCCAAACGGCCACAAATGCCTGAAGCTCCAGCATCACAGAGGCCGCCAGGAAACCAGATGGGTCAAATGTATGGACAACATCAGCACTCACAGGGCATGATGGGATGGGGACCTAGACCCCAAATGATGATGTACGGTAAGTGACAGGAAGTTTACTGGCTTGCCTGAACCGAGCATGCGTGGAAGGCCCAAAAGGGGGAGGGGAAGGAGGCAAAAAAGGACTATCTCCCTCCCTCCCCTTTCTCTCCCATGCCTTTTTGACGCCTTCCACTCAGTTAGACTGAGAGTATGATACAAAGAAGTAGTGCTGCCAGAGAGTCTGGCGTGCGAGACAGTTGATCCATGCATGAGAAAGCTTTGGGCTGGTGATAAGGACGGGTAAACGTGCCAAGTTAGGGAAGCGTCTCCCGCATCCCTGTGATCAATTGAGGCTTTGGATAAAAAATTACATTGGTTTGTATGAAATTGTCCACCCCAACCTTGAACTTTTCTTCATTGTATGTAACTCACTGAAGCGTAACGCGGGAAAAAACTATTTATTTAGTTTTTGAATTTAGACTGTACAACTTTGTTTCTGGTTTGACCGTGAAGAGGATCACTCGCATTTCTCAACAAAATAAGTTCAAACTAAACAGGGAAAAGCAAACGGCTTTGGAAGGCCAAGAAAAAGAAACCGAGTACTGATTCCGTTTCTCTTATCTGTCAACAGGTCCCCGTGGTCCTTATACTCCTCCAAGCTACGGGGGATACGGACATGAGATGTACGGTAGAGGACACACATTTCCGCCAAAACCGCGAAGGTAACAAGAAGAAAGGCTACTTTTGGGCTCATCTTTCTCTCAAGGAAAGCACTCCGTATCCCTTACATAAGCAGCAGTTAATGCTGGCGTCCCGCAAAACGTGCTCTTATTACACTCAGGGTGTGATTCCCTGAGAGAAAGGTTGGGCGACTTTGCTTTCACCTCCATGACGCTCAAGAGAAGAGGGTGAAAGGTAAAATGAAGCCCACGAGGACGCGAATTGTGCACTTTGCGTTCTCGCGCGCAATATTTTCCCCTCCTCCCTACCCTCTGGGGCCCATGTCACGGAGGGAGGGTAACTTGCTCTATGGTTGTTCCAGGGTGGGTGATGTTAGTCAAATTCCAGGATAACACAACAAGATTCCTTTATGAGTTTAGCAATTGGCCAGTCGTAAGAAACGTCTAAATAACAAGACAGTCAGACGTCGAGAGAGAGATATAATACCCAGTGACGGCCAGATGATTCGCTTGAATCCGTGCGGTCTTCAAATAAAAACTGTTAATTAAACGTGGTTTTATTGTAGATTTGGGTACGGTGGTGGAGGACGAAATAAAGGAGGCGACAGGTTAGTTGGATAAAGCTTTTTTCTGGTCGCTCTTCAGTCTTTGAAGAGAGCAGGAACTTCCGAGGAAAATAACGTAGCTGAAACCGTGTAAATATTTGATTCAAACACTCATGAATAATTCATAAAGAAAAAACGAACAAAAAAAATAAACGTTAAAGAGGTGTCTTTATATCTGATAAAGACACGGCTAAACTTTACGTCCAGTTTTTTAAACCAAAATAACCCCTAATCTAACTATTAGTGCAAGAATGAGTTGATCTATATCAGAAACTTTGAAGCCGTTCCAAAAACTCGCTGTTGTGTATTCGCCGAGAGTTTATAAACCTGATAATACACTCCTGCTCGTTTTTTAAACGGTACATAACCTACTATTACTGTATTGCAATCTCGCCGTAAAGAGTTTTCCGTCGTGTGGTTCAATTTACTGTCTGAAATGTATATTTACATGAAGTTTACAGCTTTGCTTTAGACAAGGAGACCTAAGAAACCACCAGACTTTTATTGGATTTGGGTCACTTCAATTTGTTAGGGCCGTTTAGTTTGCGCTGTAATTACTACACAGTCAAAAACATTGGCACTTAAGATACCGTTACAAAAGCATGGGCATTCTTTTTGAAGGTGAACGTGTCTAGCTGTTTATCCCAGCTTAGGCCGAGAAGATCCGTGAACCGTTCACCGTTGGATTGGTCGATTTCTGCCTCATTGGAATGCCAAGTTTTGATCTGGAAGTTGCCTTTCGCGAGGACAGCGTCGATGTGGCTGATAATCTGCTTTGCCTTAGTTACTGTTTCTCTGGAGCCACCGATGTCATCCACGTACACATGCTGTCGGAGTTCTTCTGCGGCTTCCGGGAATTCTGCGTTCGAAAAATTGACAAACGGCTTGAAAAAATGCAAATCACTCCGCCCCAGTGCGGAAATTAGGTCTAAATAATTAGTTCTAATTGAGCAACGACTATAATGGCTTAAGTGTTCAATGTTCAATAAAGAAGTGTCAGAAAATGGTGTTAGAGTCCATTTCTACCATCGACTAGCTTGAGCGATCCGCATTCAGTTCGTCTTTAGTGGCTACGAGACATAACTTGTGAATTGGTCTGTCATACTCTCCGTCTCTTGTCTTGATTCTCACTTTTCGGACAAGTCCGTCGTTTCCAGGATATGTGCCTACAATACGCGCCATTTTCCATTCACATCTTTTGTGTTTGGGGTCCAGCTCCAGTACAAGATCACCGATCTGGATGTTATCTCGCACGCGAAACCACTTGTTCCTTGGTAACAAGTTTGGGGCGAAATACTTCATCCAGCTCCTCCAGAAATCAGCAACTCTGTTTTGGGTGCTCCTGAGTAATTGTCGCGGATTGGTTCTTTCCTCTGGTTCTGGTTGTGGTGGTGGATTGTAGTGGCCTAGAAGTAGGTCGTTTGGAGTGATCGGTGGGGCCTCCCAGATATCGTCGGAACTGGGGTACAGCGGTCGTCCGTTGACCATGTAGGTGATTTCTGACAAAATTGTTCTCCATTGTTCCTCGGAGTAGGCTTGGTTCTTGCAAGTGGCGTTAAATGCTTGTCTGACTGACTTAATTAGGGTTTCAACAACTCCGTTTTGGTGACTCGCATGTGGTGTATTCCATTCCCATCTGAGCTCGCAGCTAAATTTATCAGAGAGGACACTCTTTACCCCAGGAATATCCCAGTTCTGCGTGATTTCCTTTAGGTAACCTTGGGCACCCACGAAATTTGTTCCACGGTCTGTCCAGCAAACATTTGGGTGTCCGCGTAGGCAGGCAAACCGTCGAAAGGCCATTAAGAATGCGTCTGAAGTTTTATCGGTGACCAGCTCAAGATGAATCGCACGTGATGTCATGCAAGCGAAGATGATCACTTGTGCCTCTTTCAGAGTTTTGCGGCCGAGCTTGATCTGTACTGGCCCAAACATGTCCATAGCAGTGTTTGAGAATGCCGGAAAGCCAGCTGCTACTCTTAGGTTTGGAATCTGTCCCATGAGCTGGTTGAGAGGCCTTTTCCGTAGTTTTCTGCATATGACACACTTTGAGGTGACGGTCTTAGCCATTCTGCGGAGTCCAATGATCCAGAATCTTTTTCTGGCCTCGTGGATTAAACTCTTATAGCCACAATGCCCTCGTCGTTCGTGGAGGTCACGCAGAAGCAAGATCACAAAAGGGTGGTCTTTTGGCAAGATAATAGGCTTTCTCAACTCTTCCGGGAGACGTCTGACATCTTCAAGTCGACCATGCGCACGAAAAAGGCCATCTTCATCCCTTTTTGCTACCAGTTTCTTATCCAAGCTGTCTTCGTTGACGTGAAATTGACTCCACTTCAGAAGATGGGTCTCGGCAGCCTTCAGTTCCTGAACTGAAATGGGCCCTGACTTTGGGTTCATTTTCCGAGCGTTGTGAATAAAGCGACCGACGTAGGCTAGAGTTCTCCGTATCTTGGAGTACGTAGAACACGTTTTCAGCAAGTGTAAAAGGATAGGATTTTCTTCAGATCCAGGTTGATCTAGTTCAGGACATACTTCCGCGGCGGCACTGTGATGTTTACCGGCTTTCTTCTCTTTCCAAAACGTTTTCTTCTCTCTTAAAGCGTCGAGGTCGTCCACATGAGTGTTAACTCGGGTGTGATCTTGAGCGCTGGGCCACTTTTTCTTCTGGCATTTCTAGGAAGGATGGTCCCTCTGACCACTTCATGAGATGATTAAGATGGATTCCTCTCGTTAGAGCATCTGCAGGGTTGTTGTTAGACTTGATGTACCGTATTTGGTCTGCCCCAATCGTCTCTTGAATTTCAGCCACTCTGGCAGATACGAAAGGCCTGAATTCCCGTGGTGGCGTTCTGATCCAGGACAAAACGGTTGATGAATCGATCCAGAAAAATCTTTCCCAGTCCTGGGCTTTTGCGAACTCCAATGCTTTTACACATGTAACGTACATGCGTGCAAGTGCTAAACAGCCCAGCAGTTCTAATCTCGGGATGCTCTTCTTCTTCAGAGGTGCGACGAAAGCCTTTATCGTGACTGGAACACAACGATAGTCTCCGCCAGCAAGTTTCCACCGTAGGAAGATGACCGCACCATAAGCCTGCTCACCACCATCGGAGAATCCATGAATTTGAGGCACGCCCACTGCGTTGTTTGGTTTTAGCTTGCGGTCAAACTGAAATGACAGGAGATCATTTATGGACTGGACATTCTCTAACCATGTTTGCTGAATACTCTCGGGAAGGATGTCGTCCCAGCTGTAACCTGAACTCCATAATCCTTGCAAGTCGATTCTGAACTTGATTGCGACGGGCAGCACAAGACCGATGGGGTCCCATAACTGACCAACAAGACCTAAACAGCGCCTCTTTGTCAGGACATCCAGTTCTCCGAGGTCATTCTTTTTGAAGGTGAACGTGTCTAGCTGTTTATCCCAGCTTAGGCCGAGAAGATCCGTGAACCGTTCACCGTTGGATTGGTCGATCTCTGCCTCATTGGAATGCCAAGTTTTGATCTGGAAGTTGCCTTTCGCGAGGACAGCGTCGATGTGGCTGATAATCTGCTTTGCCTTAGATACTGTTTCTCTGGAGCCACCGATGTCATCCACGTACACATGCTGTCGGAGTTCTTCTGCGGCTTCCGGGAATTCTGCGTTCGAAAGCTTGGCTAGCGTGTTGATAGCGTTAGTTGCGATGTCAGGGGCCGGTTTATCACCAAAGTTCAGTCTTAGCCACTGGTAAACAGTTGGTTTGTCACATGTGTTGCTCCTCCACAGAAACCTGTGGTACACCTGATCCTCAGGATGTACCAGGATTTGGTTGAAAATTTTACGAACGTCACCAGTGAACGCCACTTCGTCCCATCGCCATGCTGCCAGTACATCCAGAAGACTATTGATGAAGTTAGGTCCTTTCTCAAGGTAATCGTTGAGGGACAATCCATCATGACCTTTTGAAGATGAATCAAAGACTAGTCGAACTTTTGTGGTTCTTTCTGGCGTAAACACTGCTTGCAATGGGAGGTACCATTCGGGTTTATCATGAGCAATTTGTTCAGGTGGAATCATTGTGATAAAGTTCTGGTCTAACAACTTTTGCACTTCCTCTTTTACGACCTCGAAGCAACCCTTTTTCATAAACCCCCTTTCAGCAGAGAGCATCCTCTTCAGAGCGATGTCGTAGTTGCTTCGTTTTGGAGGCCCTCCTTCTTTCCAGGGCATCTTCACTTGTATTCTCCCGTCGACCAAAGTAGTTGAAGCTGCGAGGGACTTCACGAACTTGCTCTCACGTAACACGTTTTCAGTGCAAGTACAGAGTTTGGTTGGTTTGACTCCAAGGAGGTCTTGGTGGAGAAGTTTCTTGATATCTTCCTCGACACTCACTGTCCCTACTTCTATTGACTGAATTTCAGATAGGGTGGAGCCGCTTGACTCGAACTGTCCCAGAACACACCATCCAAAGCAGTTTCTTTTCCCGATGGGCTCTCCAGGTTCTCCGGACACTGTGTGAATATCAATGAAGGCCTCTACGAAGTCTGTGCCAATAAGGAGATCTATGGCACCACCCGAGAGATGTATTTTATCGGAAACGTTCTTCAAATGGCTGTATTGTCCCACTGACTCTTTAGAAATTATTTTGGCACCACTGCAAGGTCTAGTTACGGTGTACACTTGAAGGGTCTTCGTAATATCTTCGTCAGAGGGCGAGGCAACCGTGATATCGATTATCTCAGAAGGTTCGCTTTTCTTCTTTCCACCCGCCAGATTCATAGTGAGACGTGTTGCTGCTCCATTTAAGCCAAGTCGACCAGCTGCACTTTTGGAGAGTAGGCTTGTGTTAGACCCGGAGTCCAACATGGCGAGAACTTCGACAAAGTTTCCGTTTTTGTTCATGACTTTAACTTTTTTTTTGCACAGGGCAAAGTCCAGTAACAGGTTTCAACTTGCTTTTCTGGTACACAGCATTCCCTTGGATGTTACCATTCGATGTAGTTGTGGGCCCTTGGAACTGACTTTGAAACGGTGGTGCTTTGGGATTCAAACTTGTGTTAGTTTCTCCAGTCTTCTCATTATGTAGGCACCGGTGATGGTTTTTTCTGCATTTGTCGCAGGTTGAGCCGTCTGGTTTCTTGCAATCGTTTGTGTGATGCGCTCTCAGACACTTGCGACATCGCCAATGTTGCTTTACAACCTCCCACCTTTGATTGACTGTTAGAATCTGAAACTTAGGACATGCAGCCAGGTGATGTTTGGTCTTACAGCCAAGAGGACATGTTTCATCGTCAGAATCCTCGCTGTTAGCGGCGTTATTTCTGTCTTTTTGGGACCTTTGTCTCGGCGAATTTCGTTTCTTTCCACTGCGTTGCTGTTCGCTTTCCCTCGGGAACGAATACTCGCTTCTTGATGTAACCAGGCGATTAGATTGCTCACGGTTTCTTCTTTTCCTTCTCTTTTCATTTCTCTACCAAAATCTGAATTGTCACTTGGATCGAGTTTGGACAGAAGCTGGGACATGAGGAACGGCGCTTCAACTGACTCCAGCACAGGACACCCAATATTATCTTCCATGTCACTTACATAACAGGCTATTGTCGTAGCGAAATGCGTTAGAGACTTAGAATCTTGTTTGACTGCTTTAAGATTATTAATCTCGGTGTGCAGTTCGTCCATTAGTTTTCGTCTGTCTGCGAACTCTGTATCCAAAATAATCCACGCGCTGTCAATGGTTTTACAAGTTTTTACTTGGTCGGTCCAGAACGATCCTTTTGGCATTGCATTTCGAAAACGTTGCAATTGTTCATCTTTATCCTGACCGTATTTCTTCATCCAATGGCTGAACTCCTTTTTCCACGTGGCATAGGTTCTGCGAGTTCCGTCCCATACTGGTACAGGTAATCGTTGTAAACTAGAGTTTGACGGTTTTGATCCGATGTTATCGGCCATTTTCTGCACCGCCGACGTCATGGACGACATTGATAATGTTAGCGCTTCCAGAGTTGTCGCATTGTTAGAATTTTCTGAGGAGTTTTGTTCCTTTTGATATGCAGCAAACTTTAAAGTGATTTGAAGGAAATCAGCTTTGGTTTTGTCTCCAGTTTTCTTTGTTGCTAACACGAGTTCGTCTTCTGGGCCAGTGCCTTCGTCGACCAGTCTATCCAGAATTGTTTCCTGCTGTTTCTTGACCAGTCTGTACTTGGTTTCTACTAAACTGAATGCTGCTTCAAGTGTTTTTAGTTCCGGTTTTACGGAGAAAATTGTTTCGAATTCTTCCATTAATTCGTACAAGAGTTTGACGGCATTGTCCAGTTTTCCCGCGAGAGTTTTCACGTCTACCTTCGGCGGCATTGTGAGCGGAATTTAAATGCGAAGCTTGGCGGTAGTTAGTAACTCGGCGTAATCTTCTGCAATAAATTTTGACTGATTCGCTCCTGTGATTGAAGGGCTACTTTATGTTGAAGATTTCACCACTAACTGATTTTCGCGTACATGACCGTACATGGAATTTATTTGCACTTGTAGTAGTTTAGTCAACTGAAAAATTAAATTAATATGACAAAGAAGGTTATTACACATGTCGATTTCGGTTGAAGCGACGGGAAAATATTATACTTACAATTTGTGTTCCATATGCGGCTAGTAAGCTTCGAAGTGCGATCTGTGGTGACACTTTTGAAATGTAAGTTGCGTAACGAACTTCTAGGTTTTTAAATAATTAGTCACGTGATCTATTTTCGCCGCGTTGCGCTAAGATAATTAAATATTCACAAAAAAATTGACAAACGGCTTGAAAAAATGCAAATCAGGGCAGTTGGGCCGAGTTAACTTTCGCCAAGACTTCTGGGATCGTTACTAAGGATGTGTCAGTCAACTATTGGCCAATTTTATCCCATGTGACCAGTAACCATTTTGCTTACATCATTCCAGTGTACCCAAGCGATACTGATGCAAGTAAACTCAGAAATAGACCAACCTCCCGATTTTTCCGGGCGTTCTTTATGAGGCAATCTTTTGTAAGAAAAGCGTTGTTGACCGCTATGATAATAACTCAGATATTTCCATTCTTTGTACTGTTGATCAGTAGCATAAAAGTTCCAAGATTTGATGCTACATGAAATTCACTGGAAGTGATTGTACTGATGGAATCCCCCTTAGAGTCACGTGGTCTTGTGTATTGTTGTACATGAGAGTTTTTAACCCTTTTAGTCCTAATCGCAGGGAACCCGAACGCTGTTTTAGCTTTATCACAATAAGCATGAAGGGAAGGGAATTGAATCAGATCGAAGACAGTTTACCCTGAAATATTAGAATGTGGGTTAGCGCAGAGCAAGTGTTTATAAGGGCTACGTTACGAGGATATTGCTGTCTTAGGTCAATTCTGGGATCATATTACCTTTCTGGGAAACTGCCCACCTACCCCTCCCCTAAGCCAACATTAATACTTACTTCTCACTTAAGGCAAAATGTTGGCTTAGGGGAGGGGTGGGTTGGCAGTTTCCCAGAAAGGTAAAATGATCCAAATTCTGTGCTGAAGTCATTACTTAGTGCCTTTACCCATACACAAAATGCTCCTGTAGAGTTATGAAGAAGATATCAAACAGTTTTCACCGCCGCGGGATTAGCTCAGTCGGTAGAGCGCTTGACTGCAGAGAGGGAGGTCGCGGTTTCGATTGCCGGGGCCGGACCAATACTCAGGGTCTTAAAATAACTGAGAAATGAAGATACTCCCTTTGCACTGCAAGCGGCTAGACCTTCGCGTGGCTTGGATGACCACGTAAAATGGTGGTCCCGTCTCCAGTAGGAAACGTAAAAATAGTGTCTTCAATTAGCACTTTCGTACTAAATACATTCAAAGCGCATTCATCAAGGAGCAGTAACGTTTTCAAGTTTTAATCCATGTTCACCCTTGCCATCCGTAGCAGCAAAAACTTTCAATGCCTAAATATAGTCTTAAATAACGAAACTGGACCATTAGTTGTGGAACTCGATTGATGCGAAGACACGTTTTAGCTTTCTAAAAAGATAGCAAATAGCGTGACTGACATAGCCCCTTTAATCATCTGTTAAACACTCTAAGCCCCAACATCAACATGCATCTTTGGTGATCATTTCAGTAATTTTCATGACCTGTCTGTTTGATCAGGTAGTGTTATTGTTGGGAGAAATTGGATGTGGGTCAGTATTGGGGCTTCAAGGGTTAACTCGCTTTGACTCTCAAAGTTAAAGTCGGAGTCTTGTAATGTGGCTCTGACGAGTGAGTCTGCGGTGTGACCTAATTCAAGTCAAACCCCTCTGATAACACTTTCACAAGGTATTATTTAGTTTTTAGCATTTTACAAAAATGAAATTTGGAATATTTGTCTATGATCGATTTTGGCCACTTCTTGGAGTGGAATGAGTGGTCGAAAATACCAGTAGAAAAACTTTTGCCAAGTGTGAGGAACATCAAAGTGCCAGGTAACTGCCAAAATATTAAGAGTTTGCTTGGCAAATTCAATATTTTGTGGCCAAATGCCACCAAGTAATATTTCGTGGGACAAAAAAGATTGTACACTCTGTAAAACAACGTCGTTTTGGGAGGCAGTAACACGACCTTTTCTTTTTTTTTTCTCGCAGAGGTTTTCATCGTGACCCAAGAACGATTATTCAGTACAAAGACCTGGATGCACCAGATGATGCAGATGCGTTCTAGACTGTACCGTTTGCCTCTCAAGTATCTCGTGATAAGCGAATCTTGCGCTCTTGAGAGCGATGTAAAGGATGTCCAACGTGGTCATTTTTCCGTACTGTACAAACGCACGAGCACTGAAATGGCTTCGCAAAGTATAGGACTATTTTTCACTCACAATACCACGCAAGAGTAGAGTGTAGGTGCGCTTGAAATGCTGTCTTAGAAATGAATATTTTCCTTCTGTACAAGGCTCAACATTTGTGTAGATATTAGACAGATTAAAACAAATAACTCGTCAAACAACTGTTCCATTTCTACCTGTTTAGTTAGGTAATATTTATTCAAAGAGCAAAATGGCGGGTTAGGGCTACTACGTATAGCACGAACCAGGCTTCTCAAAATTTGGAAACCAGCAAGAGCATCTGGAAATAGCCTGCGATCAAGCTGTCTTTCTTTCTTTCTTTTTCGCATTTAAACTGGAAAAATAAATGTAATTTTTGAATTCAAGGATTCTTGAGGAAACTCTCTAAATGTTTTCCCAATTTTTGATGGTCTTAAAGTAAACAAAATGAATGAATTATCACAAATCTTAGGCAACAATTTAACAGGGCACTTGTGTGAACCGGGATCGGAGACTATAATTTTTGTGTGAATTATGCACCATGTTAGTTAGTCTGTACACAGACGTTTTTTTTTTTACCTTTTCGACAATCGGTGAGCGCGGAGGGCGAGAAAGAAAAAGAAAGAACATTCTCTTCTGTCCCCACCCTCGCCCCCTGCCGCATGCTCTCGCGGTCAATAAATCCCCCGCGGTTTTTCATTCTGTATCTCAAAGGTTCTTTAAGAGAAAATATAGGGTCTGTGAGCAGGCTACATGTTACGTAGTAAAAGGGTCAACTGGCTCGTTGCAGTAACACATCATCAAAGGTGCTAAACTTTCTGATCATCGCTCAATTACTCCACCCAGACTCCCACTCGACTTTGAATGATACTTTTGCTGAGGACTTTGATCAAGGGATGGAGCGCACGTAGCCGGCATCTATGCAAATGTAATGAAACAAAAGGAAGCGTTGACGTAGTAAGAGTTCGACTCTCACAGCCACAGGATTGACTTGGTACACCGACATGGCCTCCATTTCATTGAATACTAATGAGTAAGTCCGAAAAAAATTTAGATTTGCGGGACGCCACAATGATAAATAGAACACCATTTTGCTGCTGTAGCTTTTCAAACAATTGCGTCATTGTCATTAATAATCTTCATCACCACGAGTGCCAGCGAAAATAAATTGCAATATAGCGCGTGCACTTCATCAACGTCTTGGAAGTTCGCCCACCGGTACACGCCAAGTCGCGTGTGGCAGATAGAAAATGACTGAAATACAAAGTGTCACAAAGAAAACATGCCATCTGTCATTTTGAATATTTAAAGATACTGAACATGCCTTCTTATACCCATTAAAAAAAACCCGAACAAATTCGCCGTTTGATGTGCTTGAAGAAACGCTATTGTTGAATCAAGCCTAAATTTGCCGCCTTTGGTGCGTGTTTCTTTAGCCGCCGTTCTAAATGGCTGAAAATTCCACTGAGGACGAAACCGCTGATCAGGTTTGTTCACTCAAAAGGTGTCACTGCTGACCCGGCACAGAGTCATTAACCCACAGACTATATATAGCTAAACCGTCAATTCGTCGACGCCCGGTCTCAGTTGTATTTTATCTGACTCGGCAATAAATAAAACCGAAAGCAACACAAAACAGAAACCTTCCCAATGTTAATTTTTAATGGAGGTTTTTTTAACCTCTTGTCACGAGCGTCAATTAAAGATCCAGAATCGCGCCAAAAGAACGCGCGTGAAAAGTAATTGAAGTAGTGCGTTTTGTCGACACGGGAAGTGGTACATTTTGCATTTTATCGACGTGGTGGGAAGTAGAGACATTAATTTCACAAACGAAAACCTAAGTAAATACTACAAGAGATGATGCTTATATGGACTTTATAAAGCGAAAAAGATTGGTTAAGCAAAAGGACGACCCAACTTGTTTCTTCCGCTAAAATAAAAAGTGTACGTTGCTCTCTACGTTATTTTAACATTTTGTATGCCACAAGCAGATTGAAGTTGAATTCATTCGATCGCTTTACAACTAATGTCGCATCAGTAGAAAATTATGAACCCACATATAAAGACCGTCTGCTTGGTAAATACTAGCCAGTATATTATGAGTTGCTAAGATATGTTTTCTGTTATAAGAATTAGTAAGCTTTATTTGCTTGGAGTGTGTACTAGTTCTCTGTCACAACCTACGTCTTTAATCAATAACGATTTTGGCGGATTTTGGAAGTTGGTTATAGCTTGTAACATTTCCAGACCGCAGAGGAATGATTCCAAAGGAGCTCGCAAATAGAAAAATGGAAACAATAATCTTTGAATGATAATTCAATTCTGACGGACACGCTAGCCATACTTGGAGCAAGTTCAGGCAAACCTCGCATTATTCAGTCTCTCGTGAAATAGCCAGGAATTAAAGAGAGCGTCTCATAATTTCAACTACTGGAGAGACATTATACAAGCAGTTTATTCGGCAAAAGGTACCGGTTTTTCTTTGAATATTGTTTTAAATTGTAATTTAGCGTCACTAAATATGATACGGTAATTAGTAGAATGGTTTTGCTTTTGAAGTCGTTGTTTTCAGCTTCACTGCAGTTTACAATAGTTTATGCAATCATCTTGCACTTCCCCTTTTCATAATCTCTGGAAAAAAACTTTCAAATTCGCAACAAAGGAACAAATGCTGTGATCTGGCGTTATTCTTGTTACAAAATAGTAATTTCTCTAAGGGATTAGTATTGTTCTATTCATTGGCTCTCAATGTCTGGGAGTTTAGCAACCACATAGATCTCTTGTGGAATGCGCTCTCCCAGCACGAAGTGCTTTTAATAACATTCGATCACTGAAAGAGTATCATAAAAGGGCATAGAACATTGTCAGCGAAGTAAAGGAAATAAAGCATTATCGCTGGCAAGGTTCAAGTAGAATTTGGCTTGTACTATTAAATTTCAGGGGGAAGCCGCAGTAAGAAAAAGCCCTTCGGTTATCGTGAGATGTTAAGTTCCGTTTAGCAGCATAAATTAGCTGACAGTCGACAACGAAGGCTTCGCCTTTCTTAAAAAAATATCAAGAAACATTGTATTCATGCAGGGCAGCTAAGAATAAAAAAACCGTTCAAATACGAAAATTCATAACTGATATATTCAATTCAATCAACAAAAACAAGTTTCCCAAAAAATATTTCTGATAGAAAAAAGTTAGAGTTTCATTTAACTTTAAACAAAAAAAGAGATACAACCTGTAGTTGGCAACCTTGAAAATCCTGACTTTTAAAATTTGTCTTTTAATATTTTAAAGTATTTTACAGCCTCTGTTCACTAGTACGTTTTATAGGATATGTTATCCAGCCAGTTAGCCAGTTTACGGGAGACAGTTTTCTTATTCCTTTGTTAGAAATGACATTCGATAATCATACCATTTAATTAGCTGGACCCCTTCTGAGTATTCGACGGTAAGTTCGGCTCACTAGCAATTATAGACCTGTCTTATTCCTATTTTTTGCTATTTAGTTTTTTGTTTTTTGTTTTTTGGTTTTTTTTTTTAAGTTCGGCTCACTAGCAATTATAGACCTGTCTTATTCCTATTTTTTGCTATTTAGTTGGCAAACTGACTCCAGGCACGCCAGGATAATTCGGGGAGTGAAACGAAACAGCAAAGCAAATTAAGACTAACAAAATGCTTTGGAAAGATAACTTGAAACTTCTAATTCATTTTTTTGTTATAAATTTACGTTAAATTTTCTTGATGTATATAAATGTCGATTACATCTAGCACTTGACCTTACAGACGAGGACCGTTTCCTTGGGAGAATCCAAGATCAGATCATTGATGTCGGCTTCTCTAAATTTTGCTACAACGTAAGACACGAAAAACCCGAAAATGGATTGTTAAGCGTGCCAGCAATTAATATTGGACGACCCCCTGAACCGCGAGAAGATCGACGGAAGACAAGCGGGTATCGCTTATAATGGCCATATGTACTTGCTTCGGAACCGTACTCAAAGAAACACAGGAACCGTGAATCCTGAATAACCGGATGAATTCACTAGTATGCATTTTTTAGTTTCAAATTCCTTTTTAGACTTCAGTAAAGAAACTTGACGTCAATTAAATTCCGCGCTCGGCGCGCGTAATTCATCAATAGTTCACCCCACGTGGAACACGATGTTTTATATAAAAATATATGGTACTGGGATCCTACAGAGAGTTTCAAGGTCTCCCTCGACAAAAAAAGCCGTCTAGACTTCTTGTTACCTTAAGACAAGATATTAGGTTCTTCTCCTGAGTTCAGCTGTTGAGTGTAATGACAAAGTGAGCACAGATACAGGGGAAGCAAATACAAAGTCCACTTTTTTTAAAAAAAAGATGATGTATGGTTTTATTCGGTAAAGTGACAGAGGGTTTTTTACCTATTGAATGTGGTACACGTAGCTATCCCAGCTTTGATTATATTCAGTTGTTACATTAACGTATGTCATTCGTAAGTCATAAGACAGCATTCTCTTGAAGTTCCGTTAAAAATTCGGTCGTGGAAAGCAACGTCTCCACACTAAAAATTTGCGCTTAACGAAAAGCAGTTTCAGAATGACGCATTATAACTTGAAATTTTCCTTTGAAAAATTCTGTTCCGCTGGTTTAATATACAAAACATGTCTTGTCATGATTAAAAGTGCGCGCATTGGTCATTAATAAAGAATGCTTTCTGTCCATTACTGCACATGCGCAGAGGGGGTATAAATTTGGCGCGCGTGGACGGCGGTCAGGCAGGTGCAGGGGAGCGGGCGCGTGAGTGCGCCTTCAAAGTTAGAGACTCGTCGTGAGATAGAACACGATACCATTCTTACGAACGCAGCTAGAAACCTTTCACAGGTAAGAACTCTATCAAACTAAAGCGAACTTTACATGTTAACTTGCGTTTCAGCTAGTTCTTGTTTTCAAGTTGTATTCCGCTAAAGTGGAAGTGAACTACGTAATCCTGTTTACAAACTGGATAAAATGCTCACGTTAGATTTAGAGTGTACCATGCTGGCACGTATTGTTCACCACATTAAAGCTGGACAAACAGTTGTTGTTCGGACTAGACTTGAATTGGACAACACCTTTCGATAAATAAATATATTGCTCGTTCATTTTAAAGCTCAAATGAAGCTTTTTCTTGCGTTTAGTTTGTAAAATAACTGTGTGACAACGAATACGAGCTATTATAAACACTCGAGGAACTGCGGTGTCAACATTCAGCAAAAAAGTTGAGCTCGCATCAGCTAGCAGCCTATCATTACACTTACTATACTTTGCAGAGTTTTTATAAATTTCTGTCTTTACAGTCGTTTGAATGCCGAAGGTCTCTAATTTTTCTTGTTTATCGAAAGTTAATATGATAAACTCAGTGAGGATGCAAATTACGCGCTTTGATTCAGGCCCGGAGTCAATGACAAAGGCGAAAGTGTTATACGACAAGCTCAGAGCACTTGGTAACACGAATTGAAATATTTACATAACATAAGTACCTATTTATTTACAGGTTTTCTTTTCTTAGGAAAGACTCCAAGTCAAAATGCTGAAAGTTTTTGAATCGGGACAAAAGCGGAGTGAAGTTAGAAAAAACAACGTAACCAAAACCACTTGGGAATTTACCCGACAAGACTTAAACTTCTTGCTTTTTGGATATTTTACTTCAAAGGATGAGTATGTCGGAGTTGGCCAGGATCTACAAGGTAATATTTGTTTAGATAACCTATCTGTCTCTTTCAAGTTTGATTTTGTTTACCTAGTACGTGCTGTTTTTGAGGGATTATTGCAATTCTAAAAAAGTCCATTGTAGGAAAGCTTTGCCTATAGTTAGGTTACATGTTGTATGCTTTGTCGTTAATTGTGTTGATTTTCTTTTGTTTTTTATGTTGTAATTATTGCCACGACTTACGCTTTGCTTAGCGACACACAATAGTTAATCAGTGACTTACATCGAAAAACATAAAGGCGCAAGGAAGCATAACGAACCGATTGTAAACGCGAGACCTTCTATGGAAATTTTTGGCGTACTTGTTCTCCCCCGGGAAACTGTCATTAAGTCTTATGCCCTCTTAAAAGGAAACATTCTGTTGTAAAAGCCTTGTTGCTTGGGAGCTGAAATTGGATAAGTTAATACAATTGCTGTAAATTGAATAGCAAGAAGCGAAAGCTTTCAAGAAAGATTGAAAGCGTTTAAATATATTGCTGTACATTTGCAGCGCAAATACCATTCACTCTCTTTGACTTTGATTGAAAAATAACCTGTGCACTGAGGGTGTAATAATTTAGTGTGTTTTTCCCGGCTTTTGTTAAGTTCTGTCTGGTTCTTTAACCAGCGAAAACGCCCCCCACAGTAGGGAAATAAATTGAAAATATTTTTTAACTGTGTTATTTTTGAGGATAAGACCATTCAGCAAAAACTTAATTATAAGAAAACTGCGCGATCAAGGACGTGACTTGTGGGAGTTACAGAAGTGGCTTTGCGTATTCCATTTTTTTATTATACGTATTGAAACTGAAGGTTCCGGAAACTTGCATTTCATTGTTATGATTAGCTCATTTGTGAAAGCTTATGCTTCTATTGAAAGTAAAATGGAGTCTCGATTTTAATTTCATCGCGCATTTTTGAAAAACCGGAAAACTCAACATCAACAGCCTTTTTTAAAACCATTGACAAATGACCTGCTAAAACTGAGCAAACGTGAATTTTGTAACCTGATCAAGAACGTTATGTACTTACTAATTACCTGAGAACAACGTTAAAAGCTTTAGCGTTTTCTAATAAGTAAATTGCATTTTCTTTTTTTTGGTGCACAAACTTCCCCAATTAATTTTTCTTATAATATACAGGAAAACCGGCCACATATTCCCAAACCACTGACCATCAGTAGTCATAGTAAAGTTCTACAAATGTTTCATGGAAGGTTTCATGTTCTCGTTTTTGTCTCAGTATAGTCATTTCAAAACTTTACTTTTCTTTGGTTGTATTTCTTTTGTGTCTTTCCCTTTGAAATGAAAAAAAAACAACAACAACAAAACCTAAAAAAAAGATCGGGTTTTTAATATTGGCTAGCGTTTTTTGGAATATAAACTAGAAAAAATTAATTAAGTCATCCGCTGGAAAATTGTCTTCCCAGTTAACTTGGCTATCTTCTGGTATCGCTGTGTCAATATAACCGTTTAGTCTGGCTTTACAACTGTTGTAAATAATAGTCTGTTATAAAATAAGCTTTATAAGACGTGTTTTTAATCAAGTCAAGATTTTTTTAAAACTGACTGGCGGATTTTTCTAGTGACCAAGCTGCGTTTTTTTAGCGCGCTAGTGGCAAGAGACATCGCGCGGTGAAGACGATCCACTTCGTGCAGTCCGGGGATAAAGGGCACGTGAGTTTCGCCATATTCTTTTAGTGCTCCATCAAAGTTTCAATTTTTTTCATAATTATTCGATTTAGCATAATGGCAGGTAATTCAATTTTAACATGGCTTTGAACTCAGGTCACGAATTCCATGCAAGCTGGCGTGAAGCTCATAAACTAACTTTACGAGAAAATATACTTTGGGTTAGATAGAACCCATCTTGAGTCTTTTTTTGTTCCAGTATCAGAAACGAGCCACTCAACGGTGTAGACGCGCTTTTAATCTTTAGAATGAAAAGAAGACCATCAGTATTCCAGACGTGTGCGTGTATATTTTGATCCATTAATATGATCTCAACATGCGAGCCAAATGAAACTTAGAGGAAAAAGTCATTAGAATAATGATAAAAATAAAACGAATTTGAATAATAACCTGAAGAAAAGTCTTCGAATGAATATAAACTCAATGCACCATCGCAGTTTTTTTACTGGGCGATGTTATTGCCGACGCTACATATACACGTAGAAGGATACTTCGCATTTTCGTCTCAAAAATTCAAAAAACCTTAATTAAAGAGGCCGAATTACTTTTCTGTGTTATGTACTTTTTATAAACTTACTAGCAAACCGGCGAAATGATTTCAATACGTACTCTCAAGTGTATAGGTTTTGTGGATTGTCAGTTGTTTTCATCATCACATTAAAGCATATCGCATGCGACGGGGTTATTCCGTGTAAATTGGTTTCTAAATGACGTTAAATGAATCCCAAAAAGTGTTGTGACCTAGTTGGGGGAGCATCTCTGTCTCACAATCGATTGCGAAATTTTGGGAGTGTTGAGTGTTACGCTTACTTTCGACAAGAGTAGACCCCACGAGCTATAGACTATAGACCTTGTCACGGTTTTCGACGCCATCTTGACGAGTAGGCAAACGCGTGAGAAATTACAGTGATTGTATGAGAATCTAATGTTGAATAATTTCCGTAGAACGGCTGTTCTGAAAAAATTATGATTTGTAAACTAAAGTTTCACTCCTAAGGATTCTCCTGAAAAAATTTGAGGGTGTTACATGCAGTAGAAGACCTAGAACCACTTATTAAAATTTTCTATACATTTGTCGGTAAGAAAGTCCCGGGAAAATTACAGACAAGTATATGGAAAATTTAAAGCAAGCCTGTGGAGAAATTTAAGCACAGGTACGCCCCCAAATACTTTTAAGACAATCCTTTGCTTTGTAGCTTTAGTTTACAATTGATATTTTGTTCATACAAAGACTGTAATTTCTCACACGTTTGCCTACTCGCCAAGATGGCGTCGAAAACCGTGATAGGGTCTTTTCAAGTCAGGTTAGACAGATTAGAAACCTTGAGACGAACGTAAACGCGATGGGTCATAGTACGGTTTGGGAGAGTTTCAAGCAAAGCACCAACTGACATGACGAATCTTCATAGCCAATAACATCACGGCTTAACTGACAGACGACCAATAACATCGCGACGTAATTGACCAATCAGGTCAATAACCAGAGTATAATACCATCAACTGACGTGATACAACTCACTTTGACTCTGAAGATGACTACCGTACAGGTTGTCGAAACGCCAGTCACTGTCAACAACAGCAGTCCTACTCAGGACTACGTTCACTCGGACGATCAAACTCACCCTACCATGTTTTGAAATGACTCCTGGATTCATACCTTTCACAGTTTCGTGCATTACAACATTTGCAACCAGTGTTTCGACCCCATATCTACAACTGGGAGTCATTGGCATTTAAAAATGGCTAAAATTTCGTTACAGAATGGCAGTTATTATTAAATTTCTTTCTGTGTTTAACAGTCTGTCTTTTTAAAAAAACTAACAAGACTCGTACGAGCGAACACCTAGCTCATATTTCAGTCCTAATTTTCTTAACAGACTAACATGTACGCTATCTTTTATACCAGATGGAACTTCAAAGGACTGCTATCCAAATGTGCGGTTTGTCTGCGGGCCTGCTGTACCCTTCAAGTTAGAGATGCCGTCCAATGTGCCAAAGGAGCTGCAACTCATCGGTGCAACACTCCACTCAGGAACCCATTACGCTGTACTTTGCCGTCAATCATCCATCACCAAGGGAACGCGGTACGGTCCTTACAACGGCTTGGTAGTGCAACCATCAGAAGTAAGGAACAGAGAAGACACTGCCTTTATGTGGGAGGTAAATCACTTTAATTTCAAAAGCTAGTTCTCTCACTAGACCGCGTAACCTGCGTGGCAGGCGCTGGTTAGGTTTTTAATTTTGGTCAGGTTTCTTTTAGCGAGTGAGGGGAAAACACGCGAAGACAGAAAGCTCGCGCGTGTGTCCACGAAATTTCTTCCCTCTTTAACAAAACTGGCGCCTGCTACGCAGGATATATACTGCGCGCCAGAGTCCATTGCCTCTCACGAGGAGAGGGTCATTCCCATGCATCGTGTCTTTGAGTGCCACACACTCAAGTGTTTCACTCGCCCACCTGTCTCTAAGAAGGACTATTGCAGTCTACACGTTTGGGCGCAAAACGCACGCCAAACTGGTTTGGAGACTCGGCCAAATTCATTCACTAAAAGATTAAGCGAACTGTTTTTTGATTGTTATTATGTAGGATCGCAAGTACACCTTCTTTTCATTGTCTATTCATGTAAGGTCATACAGAAAGTAGAAAGATCAGTCTCTTATTTAACCACTAATAATAAACGTTCAAGAAGAGCAACTGAACTGGACTTTCATTTCGAGAATCATTTAAAATGTAGTTCTTAATTCTAAGGATTACAATCATGTGAAAATTGTGGCTATCAGTGGTGTACAAGGTTACTAAGCAGTACTTTCATATGGTGCCTTTTATTGTCCGCAAATGGGAGCTCAACATTTGCGTCACTTGTTCTTCTCTAGTAGTTCACAAAGGATATCGGCTAATTTTCAAACTGAGCCCCTTGTGTAGGATTTTAGAAAACGAATTTTTGAATTTTGATGAGAAAGAATGGAATTAAACCAACGGAAATTGCCAGGTCCGGTTCCTCGAAAGATTTTAAGCAAGGTTTTATTGTCTAAGAACATTCATGTAACTCATGCTTACAAAATACACTTGAGCCTTAACTCTTTATAGATACAATAATGATAACCCAAAATGTTTCTCTAGGCAAAACATAGGAAGGTAAATACAAAAAGTAGAACAAAATTATAATCCTGGATTAGCGCTAATCGGCCTTTCAGGAACCAGGTCCTGGACCATAACAAATACTCGAAAATTCACCATATAAACTATGACTATCTTCAAAATTCTTCTCATGATTTCGCCCCTTTGCGCTTTAAAGGTGTTCAAGGAAGATGGTCTCAGTCACTACATTGATGGTCAAAGCGAACCTGACAACTGGATGAAATTCGTTAACTGCGCCAGACACATTAACGAACAGAATGTTGCGCTAGTTCAAGATGGGGATCAGCTGTATTACGAGTGTTGTAGGGATATTTTCAGAGGGGAGGAGTTGTTGGTGTGGTATGGAAACTCTTTTACTTTATCCATGGGAATTCCGGTTGGTTTAAATGTTGATGATATCAAAGAAGAAGTGACACCTGATCCGGAGTTCACAGGTAAAATGACCTAGTGTGTGCGTATTTCTTTCCTATCTTTTTAATATATATTTTAAAGGAATGATTAAAAAGACGCAAAAAAAATAAAAATTAAACGAAGGATAAATTAGAGCCACAATTCTATAAAATTATCCACTCTGGACATATCGCTTTCGTCCGAAAATATCCGTACACGAGATCATTAACAGCGCTCATTTGTGAGGTTTTCGAACTTGCTGCAACCTCGGACAAAACTGTTGGGACAGTTTCAATCTATTTTATAACTTTAGGGCCATACTACCATCCCTCTGAACAGTAAAACTAAAATCCCTTCCCACCCTCTATTCAAAGTTGTTTGGGCGGGTCTACAAACCTTCGTGTTAAGAATTCTCGTGTTTTCCTAAACAACATTGGATTATAAAGGGGAGGGGAAAAAACAAGCATTCATTTGGCGACAGGTGCCATTTTGCCAGGAATGACAAGAAAAAAAATTGGTGCTTTTGCGGTTTTGTACGAGGTTGTATCGTTCACCGTCTTGGGAGTTCACGCAGGATTATTTTTCAACTAATGTTCCAAACTTATTTGTTTCTTCCGCCTTTTTAGGGTCGTCAGGAGAGTTCAAGTGTGAACGGTGTGGTAAGGTGTTTGCCTATAAATACTACCGAGACCGTCACCTGAAATACACGCGCTGCATTGATACAGGAGACAGGAAGTTTCCATGCAGCGTATGTAACCGCTCCTTTGACAAGCGGGATCGTCTACGCATTCACGTGCTTCATGTCCACGAGAAGCACCGTCCTCATGAATGCACGGTTTGCGGGAAGCGTTTTTCTCAGTCTTCCAGTCTTAACAAGCATATGAGAGTACATAGTGGCGAAAGACCGTATAAATGTCCTCACTGCGTTAAAGCCTTCACGGCGTCTTCCATTCTGCGTACCCACATTCGTCAACATAGTGGGGAAAAGCCATTCAAGTGCAAGCATTGTGAGCGTGCGTTCGCCTCGCACGCCGCACATGATAGTCACGTGCGACGCACGCATACGAAAGAGAAGCCATGCGTGTGCGAGTACTGCGGAAAGGCTTTTGCGCAGTCATACGAACTGAAGTTTCATATCAACATGCACACTGGAGCCAAGCCTTACACCTGTGAGAAATGCGGCAGAGCGTTTTCAAGCCCTTCATCCCGTGACAGACACCGTGCTAATTTTGACTGTATGACGAGAAAGAACCGTGCACCTAAGGTGATGCGCAAGAATCCATTAAATGGTTCGCAAGTACTTGAAGCTATAACTGCTTGACTTGTTCTTAAGTAAGAATCGAACAACGTTGTACTTGGGCTGCTATTCACCGGCATTTTAGAGGACTTTTACCTATGGTATTGCCGGTTCTTCGATTTTCTAGTGCTAAAAGAGGAATTTCGCTCAAATTGTATCGCGCTTATAAGCACTCATGTTGTATGTGGGAGTAAAAAGTAATTTATGATGTTAAATTTCACATTAATGTTAAATGGCTTACATTTATTCAGAAACAATATTTATACTGTTTGCCAATAAAATATATTTTGCTATGAACCATACATACTGCGTGCTACACTTTTTCTCACCCCGGAGTACTATTATTATACGTTTATAACTTCACTTGCAAAAATTATACAAAATATGACTCTTCTGCCAAATTGGGTAAAACAGCTGTCTTACTACTAATTTGAAATTTTTTAGATTAAATGTTAAGTAATGATCTTGCATTAAAAAGGCGAGTGATCAACTTATTAAGAAAAGGTACACGAACGATGAAAAATTTAGGATAATGGACTACTATCATTATAATGAACATTTTCCACCCAAAATCGAACGCAATTAACTTATCTGAGTTATTAATGAATTGAAACGGGAATTGTGGCGGGAAGGCAGCTGTGTCGAGAAAACAATTTAAAGATTATCTGTGAGCACACACATGCATTAGAACTAAAGACAAAAATATGAGATAATAGCCTGTTCACAGATCCTCTATTTTCTCTTTAGAGATCGTCGACCGCACGTATGAAAATAAAAACCGCGGGGTTATAGCGCTGCGCTCTTGTTCTCCCGATGTCGAATTGTCGGAAAAAAAGAAAAACATTTGTGGAAAGGCTTATCCAATAAGGAGGCGAAGTAAGGGGGTTGCAAATAGTTCAGTCTTCAGATTATAGATCTCGAGAAGCTGGCATTTCTGCAATAACTAAAGCTAACTTGAGGTGGACGTACGCAGTTGTTCTCGCAGTTGCCGTAAAAATAGGGCTTATTCATTTCTTTACATTTCTTCTTCCAGTAACAGGCACGAACTGGTATTTGATAACAGTAACAAACTATTATGGCTTAAAGGCGAAGCTCGAATGTATAAAATAGAATCGGGAAATATTAGCGAAGCACAATTGACGATGTCCAAAATATCTCCAACAGCAAATTATTTAATTGAAAAAATATATAGTGTTGAAAAAAAGTCATGCGATTACAAATAGGTGACAAAGTTATACTGAGGCCCAGCAAATCTCCTGACCAATTACATTTTATGTCATCAGTAGCAAGAAAGAATTATTTGTGTTTTGATTTTGATATTCTTGTGGTTTCTTTACATCACACTACACCTGCGGGACAAGCACGAAACTGATTTGCGCCGTACATGAAGTCTTTTCCTGAGAGTGCTACGTTTGTACTTTTCCAGCGCCTGCACATACTCTTGAGGTGGCCAGCGGTGTTCTTCAAAGAATTCTTTGTTTTCTTTGACGACAGAGTGAAGCTCCTTTCCAATCCCCTGAAAATACTTGAAGTTAAAGGCTATAAAATGGAGGCAGCACTTGGTCAGTTGCTTAGCATTGAATACCTGGGAGGAGAGAGTAAGATAGTAATGAATAAGTTGATAAGTTGCACTATACAAAAGAGCTGCACGGGGGGAGGGCAGGGCAGGGCGTGTGCCAAATTCCTCTAAGGTCTACATGCCAAATTCTAATCTGGGGTCAATTTAATAAAACTTTTACAAGTGTAATTTACAAATGTAGCTAATGTTTTCAGACCGTAAAATAATAGCTACACTAGTAAATTACATAGTCACTCGTAAAGTTTTATTAAATTGACCCCTAGCTGCCTACTTCCCACAATTTGAATTAATTATATACCTTCGAGAAAGCTAGAGTATCCATGAATTCATTGGCTACATGAGAGCATTTCTGAGTTATGACCTTCTGCAATTCTTTCTGTATGTGAACTTCACATATCTGCACCAGGCGAGACAGACACAGCTTATCCGCAACAATAAGTACTTCCTCCACAGGAACCGTTTCCAATGAAGGACAACTGTCAGTGTAGAGGTATTCAAGGACAGCCAAAAAACTTTGGCAGTCAATTCCTTGCAGATGCACCTGGAATAATCAAACAAATAATTAGAGGGTACATTTTGTGATAAGGGTCTTAGCAAGGACTGGAGATCATAGCTTGTGGATGACTATCCAAATGTCTCGGGGGTCTTCTGCAGAAACGTTTGCAAAATTTAAAACTCTCCCAGGTTTGGCTCAAAATGCCACAATTCACATGTGCTGAGTCCAGTGCAAATGAGCGAAAACGAAGGAATTTCTTCATTAGCATTAACCCTTTAAACCCTAAGATCAAAATTTGAATTCTCATTTGTTGCCCCTATTCATTTCCTACAGAAGTAGTGGGGAGAACTTGATAAAATATCAAGCAAATTCATCTTGTGCGATCATGTCGGTAATTCTCACGAACACTCTGTTTTACAAAGCATAGATATTAAAAGGAGAAATTTGATGCTGATCACTCTTAGGGCTTAAAGGGTTAAACTCGTCAGAAGTGAAATGCGATGACCGAAGCAGGCATTTCAGTGTATCAAAAAATAATTTCCAAACTTACTATGAACATTTCTCAATAACTATTTCTTCTGAACTATTGATGAGTGAAACCCTGGTCCCAACGTTTTTCTTGGAATTTTTCTTCACAAAAGAGAAAGCTAGCTGCAAAGCGGCAACAGAGAGTCGCGAAACAGTGAGGAGAGAGTCACCTCTTGCAGTTTTATTTATTCTACAAACAATTTTTTCCCTGGTGGAGAGGGGCAAAATTTACCAAAATAAATTAGGTGAGAAATATCCGCGACGTCCCTTTGGTAGTTACAATCAAACAAACCAATCAAATTGATTTGCATGTTTGTAAAAATATCAACCAATCAGTGCCCGCAGGTCAGATCATGACCCTGTCGTCTGCATGAAAGCGAGATTCGAGGGCAAGGTAACCAGAGCTTTTTCTCTCTCTCCTTGTCACTTTGTGACTTGTTGTCACTGCTTCACAGCTGGCTCTCTCTTTCGTGAAGAAGAAGTTCAAGAAAAACCTCTGGGACCAGGGTAGATAAGTGACTTATTTGATTAAAAATATCTTCAAAGCAAAATAGCCTGGAAGGAAGAGAAAGGCTTAAAAGTATCAAAGACTGTTTTCATATGAAACACTTGATTTTTGATCTTTGTTACTGGACGAAACAAAAAGTTATTAAAGTATGGTTTGTGGACCTAATAAATAATGTCACAAACTACCGGTACCTGGGCACTCTCTGTGTCCTTGAACTTTCCACTGAGAAGGGCAGCGATATAGGGTGATCTTGCCATAACAATGGCCTTGTGAGCACGAACCACTGTATCCTCCACAAGAAATGAGACATCAGAAAATGTTGTTGCTTGCAAGTCCAGAAACAGATCATGGACAACATGTGGGCGTTGTGGTGTTGGTTGCAGTGGCACCAGCTCTTTATCTGAGTGATCTAAATTTTCCTTTTTGGCACTGACAGGTTTCAAAAAATAGTTGCAAACTTCCACTAATGGCTGGACTTTTAATTTCTCTGAGGCTGCTAAAATGTCTTTAACTTTGTTGAGTTCTGTGACTTTTAAAATTTCTGCCTCACCAGTGTAGAAAAATTCCAAAACTCTGATAAACGTTTCATGAGAAATCCAACTTTTCAAGAGTATGCAAGTTCTAACTTGAGTAGAAATTTTTGAGCGAGAGTCATCAAGAGCTATTTCATCAGAGTCCTTGGAGATTTCGGTTAGCTCAAGAAGATCTTTGAAATTTTCAAAGTTGTCGCAATTTGCATCAAGTAAAACATCTTTAAAGATGGAAGGAGTTAACAACAAAATGATTTTGTGTGCATAAAGGCTTGCACTGCCATCTTCAAATTGAAATAAAACATCAGTACTTCCAGTGTCATCCATGACTTTCTTGAAATCACTAGAGTAGGTTGAAGGTTCAATCTTGATTTCTGGGGGGGACTCTGTAAGCATAAGAATTAAGAAAGAAGTCGTTAATACAATAACAATGACAATGATGTTAATGATGTTAAAGACGGACGATGGTGGCGATAATGATGACTCCGTAACAATGAAATTGTGTTGCTGCATGCCTTTTCTAAAACAAAAACTTACTTCAAGCCATAATTTCCAAAAAGAGGGTGGGTCTTGATCTAAGTAACGATTGTCTTGAGTGGAAAAAACCTGATTGTCTTCTACATTTGTGCACCTGATTTGATTGATGATACAGATTATTTCCAAAATTTTAATTTTTTAATGAATAAACAAGCATGACCTTTCAATACACTTTTGAGGACTAAATTTTTTCTGATTTTTTTTCTTGGTTCAAGGATTCTTTTTTTCAGTGGTAAACTAGTTCCTAGCCATAGGGATACTTTGCCTTATGGGTGTTTGTTCCTAGGTGATCATCCCCACCATATTACATTACCATCACTTTAAATCTGGAGAAATTCACCATCTCTCACATCAAGATAGCCAGAGAAAACAGCCTATGTTCACAACGTCACCACAGTTTTAGGAACGAGCACAGAAATTCGATACTGATGACGCGTCACTTTCTATGATCTGTGCTTCTGATTGGTTAAAATTTGCTTCAACCAATCAGAACTACTACCCAGACCTGGGTAAGGACACGTCATCAGTATAGAATTTCTGGACTTCTTTCCCAGATATCATTTTGCAGGGAAATGTTGGTGACATCACGAATTGTCCGCTATTTTCTCAGGCTGACACCAAGAATATAACTTTTTGCTACTCACTTATTGGTGGAATCCAAGTTGGATCAAAGCTGTCTTTATCGCCGATCTTCTGTGACAGTTTACCCTGCTGATTTCTTCTGGTATGCCCAAGCTTGACAGCAGCTTCAAAAGCATCTGCCACATGATCACCAGTCTGTGCACTGACCTCTTGGTATAGGACACCCAACTTCTCTGCCAACTTTTCTGCTTCACTAACTGATACCATGTCATAACACTCACCACTGCTACAAGATGACAAGAAAATTAATAATATTACAAAAAAGGTTTTTGAATCGGCTCTGGCAAAGACATTTAGTATACAAATTTCAAGGCTCAGAGCAAAAGTTATACATGTAAGCAAGAGCATATAATTTGTTTAGATTGCTCAAACTTCATCAGCCTTACCATGAAATGTCAGGTTACCTACCATTGCCATCAAACAAAGACAACCCTACAACAATATGTTCCTGGAAATACAGTGTACATAACAGCCTTTCTGTATGCCATCTGACATTTCACATCGCTGATAAAAATCAACTATTCGAATGAAATATTCGATTTCATGTTAAATTTTGTTTTAGTCTTGAAATTTGTTTTCTAAAAGAAATAATATGATTGCATGCAATACAGTGTTTACAAAAAGGCTAGGGAGATGTACAAGGGGGTAGAATGAATGAGACAGATACAGGTTGAAACTTCCATACAGTGCCAAAAAGTTAAAAAAAAATCCAAAAAGAAGACAATATTTTTTCCATAATACTTTTTACTATCACTGGGGTGAAGAAAATTGTTCGTTAAAACAAGGACTTCATTAATAAGGGGTTGTCACATTGACAGTTCTTAAAATGATGTGATCTACAAGTGATTGAGATCAATCGATAAACCAGTCGACCAATAGAGTGTTTTCACTCACGTGGCCAGCATCTATGCAAATTTATTGGAACAAAAGAAATCGTTTGCATAAGAAAAGAGTACAACTCCCACGGGATTGGTTTGGGACACCAACATGGCCGCTGTTTCATTGTTTTGGGATACCAACATGGCAGCCGTGACGTCATGTGAAAACACTCCATACACTTTATTTGAAAACAATACAAGGTAAAGTTTCAGTATAAGAGGTCAAGCTTGTAGCAACAAAATATTGTGTCGAGTGAAAAATTTCTTGGATGTATGCGGTCTCCTAAGACACCAAACCTAAATGATGATATAATTTTCAGTTACGGTGCCCCAAGCATTAAGAAAACTTTGTAATATCACATAGCCTGTGAACAGGCCTTTAGTCGAGCAGGGTGGGGAGAGGGAAAAGCGAAAAGGCCTGTGGACAGACCTTTGGGGCCGCCGTTCCACGGCACCCGCTGTGCATCAGATCCTGATGCAAGCTCCTATTGGCGAGAACACTGACTGTTGACAGGTCTGATTGACATCCGCTTTTCGGTTGGCACGTAGCACGCGATTTGATCACAGAGTGGCAATAACAAAACAGTCCAAACGACTATTACCACGGGCAGGAACTACGCCCTCCGGTCAAAAGACTCAAACTGTCTTTACAAAAACACTAAGCTAGAGTTTATAGTTACCGAAGCACAATGCAATTCTCCATAGCTGATGTAGCTTCGGTTTAAGCTGCATTTCAATCTTATAATTTTGGATCTGTAAATAACCATCCGTGATAATTTTTAAACACTGACGAGCTGGGCCCGGCGTCAGAATACAACATTGCAGAAAATCATTACATTCACGGACTAAAGAAAATCGCTAAGTTATTCAGATCGAGAAGGCACTTTGGAGAAAAGTAAGACCCTTATTCAGCTGCAAAAAAAGAAAATGCTCTTGCATCAGAGGGCAAATCCTGTCGACCAGAAACAAAAACCACAGTAAATCGATATGTGTGCCATGACCTCTCAGTGTGAAACAAGCGGCTAAAATCACATTTGCTCAGTGAAAATGTAGAACCTTCCAGAGAATAATCTACCCCGCAGAGGAAAAAACTTATGGGAACAAGCAGCATTTTGGAATAAAGTAAAAGTCGTGTCGGCCTACCATGTAATTCCTGTCGGCGATCGAAGCCGGCTGCTGATCTCTTTGTACTTATCTTCGAAGCTTCACGTTCTGGAGAAGTCATGATAGCATCTGTACCTTCCGCATTCCAAGTTCGCTCATTGCAGCGGCTTGTTAAATAACAAACCGAACTAGCAAGACGAACGGCTTGTTTTAAATCCTCTTACTGGAGATCAACGACTTTTTGCAAAATCAACAATGAGGTTCATGCTCCATTTCACTCTGTTTTCAGACGGAGCAAAACACCACTCATTTCCTGTTAATTTTCCCAGGAGTTACTCACGCGCGAAATTGATTGACCGATAACGATCTCACTGACAGATGATCAGCAGGATAATTACAAGAGGGCGAAATAGCGGCCTCAAATGTTTGTCTACAGGCTCTCTCCTCCCCTTTCCCTTCCCTTTCCTCGCTATTTTTCCCCAAACAGAGAGCCTGTTCACAGGCTAAATATCACAAATCTTGCCCAGCTGAGAGCTGGCAAAAGCTCTGTATTGTTGCAGACATGTCCAGTGAAGTCTAATGTCAAAATAAAAAGACAATTTAAAAAGACTAGAAGAAATAAATGACAAAGCTCTTTAGATGGTTCTTTAGTTTAATCCAAATCAGTATTATGAGCGCTTAACCCGAATCATGATTGAAATCGGGGAAGGGGGACGAACGCGGGGAGGAAGGGGGGTGGCATGGGGGCGATAATCCGGCTGTTTCCTTGAAAAATTACTTACCTTGCAGTTTGGTCTCGAAGATCAGCCTTCGTACCAACAATAAGAACCGGTGTATCAGGTTCATATTTTCGAAGTTCGGGTAGCCACCTTTCTGTGACGCTACGAAACGATTCACGATTGGATATATCAAAGCACAACATAAAGACATCGGCACGAATGTACGCCAAGGGCCTCTGCCAGTCGAGGATAGCACAGCCGCCAGTATCCCAGATATTCGTCTGATAATTACCAAGTTGTGTAGTGTCTATGTTGCTAAAGCAAGTTTCAAAAACGGTCGGAGAGTAAACCAAATCATAATCAAAAGGTTCCCTCATTAAACTGTAGTATTCGTGCAAAGTGGCGTAGAGCTCCTTTGCTCGAGAAACCAACCATGTTTTCCCGACTTCTGCATCTCCAACAAGAACGACCTTTAAGGCGTTCATAAGATGCCTGAAGTACGCTGTAGCCATTTGCGAGGCTCAAGATTTGCACTCTATCACTGTGGTCACGAAACATGGCTTTGAAATGATGCTTTTATACCGTGTTTTTATCTCCGGTTTGTTCCCAGTGATACAGTGTGGTTTTATATGCCGCTCCATTCCAAAAATAACTAACCAATAGGTTTAGAGAATAGTGACGTAATGGTGTAACTTAGCACATCTTGGAGATAGCACAGGCAGCCCAATTTTTAGTAACAGATCAGACCTGTTTCTATATTGGGTATTTTAAAAACGTTTATCGCAACACCCCGCGGAGCTGCAACACGTGTCAGCAATATGAAAACATTGAAACCAGCCCATAGCCACAAAATATATATGGTAAAATAAAACAAAGAAACAGTGACAGAAACAGAACGACCAAAAAAGGGAGAAAAATTCTCGGCCGGGAGTCGAACACCGGACGTTAAACTACAGGTTGCCCAAGCTCGAAATAGGAGCATCGGCATTGTCGCGTAACATTTAGCCTGTGTACAGACCCCACCCTCCCCTCAGTAAAAATCGGAGAGGGGAGGGGGGGGGGGTCTGTACACAGGCTACGTAACATTCGAAACATAAGGATTTGTATGGGGAAAAAACCCATCGTTTCAGTAACCTACGAAAATAATGTGTTTACGTGAGAAAACTCGCACCGGCTAGCGTTTCATACCAGGATGATGTTTTGATTTTGTATCGTGTTAACATGATGATGGGTCATTTCATATCTCAGCGATCTGAAGGTACACTTCATGTTGATAAAATACACTTGCAATTCAAAATCGCAAGCATTACGCTTGCGCTACTCTTTCTTGCCCACCTGAAGACCGATGTCACACCCAAACGGGTGAAGGTTTCGCGTTTACGTGATATCGGTGCAAAATTTCGTAAAGGAGTAAAATTCTCGCTCCGGTACAACAACCGGGGTGAACTCAAGCCGGGGTGACTCGCGTTTTGTGGTGTTATCATGTAATATCCATGGGCAGCTTTGTGGCCGTTTTTATGGGTTATAGTGTAACCGGTTTTCTCTCTCCATATAGAGAGAGATTCAGATTTTGTTCTAGCGCTATGACTCGGGAGCCGAGCGGTCTTTGCCGAGGCGTGTTTCTTTTGAAAATTACGACCAGCTTTCTGCTATGTAGATCATATGTTACCGTTTAGTTCCTTTTCGCATAGTTCTTTTTAATTGTGTGAAAATCAAATCAAAGTTAACCATGTTAAACGAGAAATTTATCAGATCTTATCAATACAATTGCCGGCTGTTCGCATTTAAGTTTTTTTTTGTATATATTGTTTTCACAATATAGACCCTTCCAATCAAAATCCACTTAGGGCACAATAATTCCCTGATGTTTGTCCAAATCCCGTTCTTTGTATTGTTTTGGTCAGAAACACGAACTCACTATATAACAAAAGCTGATGTCAGGCCCAGTTCAAACGTCTATCTTTATACAAGTACGATTAATGCCCATTTACAAATGATATAGTTCGACGTGTGATTCAGACGTTGAGCTTATTTAGTCGGATTCAATTCATTTTCACGATGTTCAATGGTTTAAAATGCTCACAAGTGAAACTAAATTTTAGTAATTTATGCATTAGGTTCGGCACATGGGAAGTTCGAAGTTTGAAACAAAGTCGCTCGAGCTCAGTCGAAATTCCCATGTGGGCCACTCGGTCGACCCAAATTAGATGTGTCGAAATTAATTGATTCAAACGTCGATCTTTTCATGTCCTTAATTGAAAGGATTAGGTTCGTAGCCTGAATTTCAAACAATTACTTCGAATCGCTTTTACTCCCTCACTTGCTGAGAGGAGAAAACGACTCGAAGTAATCGTCTGAAATTCAGGCTATTAGGTTCGGTACATGAGAAGATCGACGTTTGAACTGTATGGGCCTCAGTAATTGAACGCTGACTCGGATATTAATAATTGTTATATATTTTATAACATCCGATTTCACTTCACACTTAGAAATTCTGAATATTAACTCTCTGGTTCTTGTCTTTGTGCACAGTCTCGTGCTATCAAATGAGTTGTATTTAACAACTATTCCTCGACCCCGAATGGGCTCTGAGTCAATAGCCCATGAGGTCGAAGGCCAAATGGGCTATTGAATCAGAGGCCATGAGGGCGAGAGGAATAATTGTTTTAGTGAAGTCTAACTAGTTGGTCAAAAATATCGAGACAAAACAACTTTAGCTAGTTAAAGTTAGACTTAAAGCATCTTTTGCCGCCAAAAAACCATTGCTTTGCGCTACTAGTGGGCTATAACATATAGCCTAGTAGTAGCTCCACCAATCAGAACGTAGCATCAATAATAGACCACTAGTTGGATTTTACTAATAGAGGATATCCTCTCTTCGCACTTAGCCTCGCTTTGAAACAGAGGCTTGGGCAACTAGAAAATAGCCTATTGGATTCAAATCAGGTAAAAATGTTTTATATTCACTTTAACCGCGTCCAGGAGACCAAGAAGGAGAGGAAGGCTAGTTAGTGTCCCATCGTCATCTTCGGCCCTCATAGGAACGTCTCGTACATGCGAATATTCTACGTATTGATTGTCGAATGGCTTCGTTTCTTCTGAAGTTGATCAGTGGGTTTAACATTCCGTTCAACGTTATAAATATGGTAATAAATACCCGAAAGGGTGCTATACTTTTGAACCCCATTAAAATCAGAGCAACAGGGGAAATTAAAGCTGGCAGGATCGATAATATGAGCATCATTAGGATTAATCCTACGGTGACAGCGAGCCTCTTTTCTCGATTCAGTAAAACAACTGATCTACGGCTTCCAACTTGGGGAAAATTTTTCCGGCGATGTGTCCTCATCGCGAAATATATTCCAGTGTAACTAGAAATGATTATAAATACAGAAACGGAGCAGAATGTTAAGGCAATAACATTCTTAATGAAGGCGAATTTCTCTGGCAGATAAACAATTATAACATATATCGTAATTACTGTAGTTAGACTTATCAGCCAGCTACTAATGGCTTCCTTCAAGGCACGTGACTTGGTCATGTGATTATAATACCACCGAGGCTTTCTCACTGCACGAAAACGATCTTTGCTAATGAAGGTTAGGTTACTGAGGGTGGCAAAGATGTACCAGATTGAAAGGTAAATTTCTTCTGCTCCACTTGATGGACAGTTATGAATGTGTACTATAGCATTAGTATTTATATAAAAACTAAGCACTGTCCAGATTAAATCACTTGAAGATAAACTACAAAGTAGAATGAGAGACGGATGCTGACGAACTTTTATTCGCGCCACGGCAACGAGAAGGAGAAAGTTCGCGGTCAATGACATGAAGTTTAACGCCATATTGAGTGGAAGCAGGACTGTGTTGGTGACGAATCGAAGATTCTGTTGAGTCTCCTTTGAAGTGCCAGGAAAAAGGCATGCTAAGTACGGGAGTGGCGTAGTGCTGTTATTGTTTGACTGGCTCCATCTAAACGCCATTGTCTGTTAGGACAAGTACATCTTGATGCACAATATGCGATCTGTGAAGTAGAATAAGCTAACTGCGCTAAGATAAAAGCCAAATTGTTTCTTGTATAAAAACACATCAGTAAATCTGTGAAAAAAGTTCGCACACAAATGCTCAGGCGGGAAAACACACAACTGAAAGTTCTCAATTTTCCAATATTAACAACTGAGTTAACGGATTTGTGGTTCCCTGGGATCATTTGGAAAACATCTGGTTGCTTAGTTTACAGTTGCTAACTTGAGCTTGTAAGTCCAGAGTTTTTAGCTAAAAAATTATGAATGTAAAGAGGTAAAACTGTTCCAAGCAAATTTAATTTGAAACATTTACCATTTGAAAGTAGTGACATGTAAAAAGGGTTTGATATCAATGGTCCGACAAATCGTAATTTAGTTTAGACCCAAAAACTTTAAACCACCTTATACAAGGGAAAACTTTTCCATCATTTACTCTGGGGACATATTGAAACAAGCTAAAACATTTACCTACTTTTTTACTCTGTAATCGGTGATTCACAAGTTCGCGCCGGTTAATTTCTTGAAACGTAACTAATGGTCGGATAGAAGTGAGTTGTAAAGAAAATTATCGGCAATTTTAAAATGAGGTGACTGATTCTTATTTTTATATTAGTGGTTTTGTGATAGACAACGAGGCTTTTAGCCTTGTTCGCTTTTGTTCGTCATTGCCAGCTAGATAATGGTCAAGGTACTAAAATAAAAATTTACTTAACAGCAACTTGAAATGAAACAATGCCGTGTGTTCGTATGAATTTAAAGCTATCATGTGCTGAGTGCATGCTTCGTTTCTTACAAGAGAGGATAAAGCTCTAGAGCTTTGTTATCTCTTGGTTTCTTAGTAACTATCTTCCGCTGCGGTCATACCTTAATGGCCACAAATTCAAAATCTCTTTTCTGTTTTTAAAATAGAGTGTTTCCTCCCAGTATGAAGTGGAGGCAAACTAAGAGAGAGTGATTACTACCGTTACCAATATAACTTATGCAAATGTTCTGTTAAGTTCATACTTATTTCGCCTTATTCCTGGCTCTTTTACTTTTCCCACTATTAATGAAATGACTATGCCTTTTCATGATTTGAAAAACACGTAGACTGATAATTTACAGTGGAAAAACAATAAATTGCGAGTCCCCCGATATTTAAAATTGTTGTTATTTTCAATCAATAGTGACGACAGTCCATTAAAGCGGAAGTTTTCTTCAGCGGAACGTGGTAAGTATCGAAAATTGGATACCTGTAGTGTTTGACTGATTGCCGAGTTGTCCCCGTGAGAAAGATTTCTGATGAGCAAATGAACGCAATTCCAAAAAGAAAACCCGAAAAAAAAATTCAGTGCCAGTGTACGGACCCTTGAACAAACTTTGTGGGTTCGATTGTCACCGTGCAAACCTGAATTTTTTAAGACCTTTTTTTTGTCGCAAACTGTGATGATCTTCTTCACATTATAGTACGATATACTTGGCTGTGTAGCAGTCGGGGCATATTAAAAACTAACAATGGTAGAGAGGGAGTCAAGTGTAAACTTTTCTGCCCTCGTGGCTTCCGGAATCGCGTCGCTCGTCCTCTGACCACGAGCGCAAAAAAGGCTACAC